TTTCAAGCTTGAGATGCAAGACCAGGCTCAAAAATGATACCAAGATTCCTGATGTAAGTACTGGTTTGAAAACCTTTAATAGTAAAATTAGACCTGACACAGATGCATTAACACAGAATTAATACAAATTCTGTTCAGAAGTAGAAACAAATGCTGCATCCATTTTTAATATCTACAGTAAGTATGACAAAGCAGATAGTTCATATAAATAGATAAAATCTAGTTGTGCAATTATTAATTTGGGTGTTAATGGCATTGAAATTAAAACCGATACAATATCAATGAAGACTTGAATCCAAGGGTCCATATCCATCCATTCATCTGGCTGATTTTTAAGTGTAAGGAATTATTTTATTATTATAACTGTCACTATTTTGGCATGGCCAGGTCCAGAATTGAACATGGGGCACACAGAGCAATGGTAACCACTGTGTCACCACGCTGCTGCCTTCCAAACGTAACATATAGCTACTAAAACGAAAAGGACCAAGACCCAAGCCCTGCAGGACACTAGGTGTGACCCACTTTTTCAAGGAGAAGCAATGCCTCAATTGAATACATTGTTTTTAAGCTTTTTTTAATAACTAAAATGTTGAAAGCAGTTTTGGTTAGACCAATAAATCTCTCTAATCTATTCAGCATGATGGTATGGACATTAGAAGTCATAGTAAACCAGTAATGGTCAAGAGCTGTTTCAGTGCTATGCATTGTTTTGAACCCAGACTGAAATGACTCATGCTGCTCATCTGCAGATAAGCACAGTCCAAAGACATACTGGTAGGTTAGTTGACTTCTGGGGAAATCTTTTAACTGTACAGCCTGTCCTAGAATCTTTAAATTCTACAAATCTGCAATTAAATTTATAAACTAGATATTGGATGGTAACAACTGTGTTTGAGTTGTTAAAGTTGTTAACATTTAACTTCTTAATTGCAAGAGGACCAAGACAGAGTCAGATGTTTCAATTTAGAATTGAAAAAAATAATAATCTATTGGACTTGTCAATAGCCAATCGAAGAGTGGCATTCCAAGAGTTATAAGATTCTTATAGTATACAGAACATCCTGCCTTACAGCTGTCACAGGTTTACTGTAAGATTATGTTGCTTGAAGGCAAGTAAATTAACAGACAAGCTGATATTCCTCCAGTTCACTCTAGCCTGGGTCCATGAGATTTCATGGAGGATAACTCCAGAAGTGAGGTGAGAAGAAGAAATGAGGCCTCTCTAGTTTTTATCCACAACTAAACATGCCACCAAGGGGAGAAATATGAACCATAATGGAGTCTTCACTAGTTACAGTGGTGCTAGAAAGTTTGTGAACCCTTTAGAATGTTCTGAATTTCTGCTTAAATATGACCTTAAATGTGATCAGATCTAGGTCATAAAAATCGATAAAGAGAACCCAATAAAACAAATAACACACACAAAAGGATATACTTTTTCATTCATTTTTTGATCAAAATGATCCAACATTAAATGTCTTTGTCGGAAAAGGTATGTGAACCTATGGTTTTAGTAACTGATCACATTTTAGGTTACATTTATGCAGAAATTCAGAAAATTCTAAAGTGTCACGAACATTTCTAGCACCACTGTAGCTGAGGGGCAGTTGCAGGAGAATTTAAAATGGATTGGGGAAAAATACATCTGAATTACTAGACCTGCTGCAGCAAAACCCAATAGTTTGTGCATAGATACCAGAACCTCTTCTTTATCTGGACTATCTAATAGGTTATTGAATGTGCAGGTTTCTAACAAGCAGATGACACTTCACTTTTCTAATACTTGTTTCACTTACAGTAAAAAGTATTTTTACTTTTAAAATACTATAAATACTATATTTATAAATTTTATAAACCTGTAATTTGAATAAATAATTAAGCATCTAATCTGCTTACAACATGAATATTCATTTGATTTCAGCCTTGTGTAACTTTTGAAAGAACATACAGTGCTTTTTTTCAATTGTTGTCATATGAGTGCAAAATCAAAATTATCAGAGCCAGTTATGTACTGTATTTGCTACTACTAATGTTAACCTCACATTTATTAGAAATGCCATACAGTGTCTCTGTTATTATACTGGGGTATTAGGACCCACACAGACCGCAAAGTGAGCACTCCCTACTGGTCCCACTAACACCTCTCCTAGCAGCAACCTTAGTTTTTCCCAGGAGTTCTCCCATCCAGGCACTGGCCAGGCTCATATCCACTTAGCTTCAATGGATTACCAGTTGTGAGTTGCAGGCCAATATAGCTGCTGCCTATGGCTTTTGCTTGAAATGCCGTTACATATTTTTTTGCATTTTCATAATGTGAGTGTCTCAGTTTTTTATCTTGACTGACAAAGAAGAGTAATGCATGCTTTTGTCTCCTCCAGGTTAGAAGTTATTGCAATGTAATGCTTGCTTGTGTATTCACACATATTCATTACCCAGCTGAGTTGAATTGGAACTGAAACTAGCAAGCATTTCTCTCCTGTTTTAGCCTCACTATGCCTGAAAGACAGACACTTAAGTTCAATGACTCTAGGGATCTGAGCCCATAAATAACTCATGAGGACGGTTACTTAAGCAGCAGGAGATTTTATTTTGGAGACATAGGAGAGCTAATAAGAACAGACCTTCTTCAACTAAACACTCCAACAGCCACCCCTAACGTCCTCATTATATCCCCAATTATCAGCATGCAATCCCTTTTTATATATTACTCTCATGTGAGAATATGCACTTCAAAACCTTTAACCAATAATCAATTAGCATTTAAACTACCAGAGCTCATTTAAACTAGTTACCAGAGTTAGAGGGCCTTTGGCGTCCTTGTGTGGCAGCTCATCTACTACTGCAGTCCTTCCGCGGTCCTGCCACACACGTTGCATTTCAGAGTAAGAGTCTAGCTAATGCTTCCTACTGTACCTTTAAGGGATGTACGAACATAAAGTTCACTTTCTAGCTTAATTGGTTTGTTAGTAGTTCATTGATCCGAACATCCCATTCAGCTCTGCATACTCTGGCCTTCTTTCAGTTCCCAAAAACAGTCTCCAAGCACTAGGAGATAGAACTATGTGTTCTGTCACTCCAAATTGTGGAACAGTCTTCCACCCTGATTAGATCTTGCAAGTGATGCAGCACTTTCCAATTCTGTCTTAAAATTTACTTTTACACACCCTGTTAATTCCATTAGGTTCTGGCTCTTTGATGATGATAATAATAATAATATAATAATAATCATCATCATCATCATCCTTGATTGTGGTCTGTGCCGCCTACTTCATCACTTTAAATAACCTGTCAAACAAAAGTGAAGATACTAGAAATGCATCAGATTAGTTATTGAAACTACAGGTACTCCTATTAACCCATTAAGTATTTTTATACTTTTTGCTTTTTTCATGCTTTATGTATTTTTATGCTTAAAACATTTTTCTTGATTATCCAATCCAAATATTGAGTGAAGATGGTTCCTTCTGGTTTGTTTTTCTAGCCTTTTCTGGGGGAGAGATTCTTTACCATTATCTGAATCAAAGCTTTCTGCAGCACTGCTTTTGTTTATTCCTGTTTATAGACCCTTCCTTGATTCTTTCGGTCTTATCTGATTGTACCATCCCTTTGGCCTCTAGAGTAATCCTAGAAATTCTAAGGTTTCCCCTGGGATTCCGAAGATTCCAAAATGGTAGTCCAGCCCATGGGCTGGGAACATCTGTTAATTGTCGTACTTTTCTAGGCATCAGGCATACAGAGTAAACCCTTTTCCCATAGAATAGAAATGAACTAATACAGTATGTGCATCTCTGAGTTCTATTTGATGTATTTTACACATTGCTGTAGTAGCACAGGAATAAGTCTGATGCAAAATCATTCTACTCATTATTTTGTCAAATTTCTGGTTTTCTGAGATCATATTTTCCTGAAGGAGGGTGGTGCAGTGGTTAGCGCTGATGCCTCACAGTGCTGGGACACTGGGTTTAATCCTAGGAAATTCTATGTTTTCCCTGTGTTTGGTGTAGATTTCCTCTGGTTGCCCTGGTTTTCTCCCGCAGTCCAAAGACAATTAAGTTTAATGGAAAACTAGTCTTGGTGTGTCTGTGCCAGTTTATGCCCTGTGCTGGCCCAGGGTGCCATGTGCCCATTGTTTGCCAGGATAGGCCCCCGGCTCCCCAGCCACTCTGAACTGGATGAAGCAGTTAAAAAATGGATGGATGGAAGTCTGAAGAGACATCTCCATTAGTGAAAAAGATTGAAAACTTTGTTCTTTGTTTACAAAAAGTTCAGATGACTATAAGTATATAGTGATATAGTACATAGTAAATATAGTAATCATATTTTGAAAGACAACAAAACAGAAGTGAGTGAGAAGGTTTTCTAGCTTCAGGAAGCTTCATCGACCTGTTTTCCATTTTTATGGTACAGATCTTACAGTGCTCATAACAGTCAGCATAGGTTGAGAGAGTGATACAACTCTCACCGATAAAAGTGAAAGTTCACAGATGCTAGTAAAGTCAGAAGAGTCTCACCAAACCAGTATATATGGTTCTTGGGCATTTGTGCTACCACTGCTTAGTGCAGTCTCATCAGTCTGCCAGTGACACGGACGTGCCAGATGAAAATTCCTTTTTTTTCAGACGGAGCCTTTGTGCAGTCCCATTTGATACATTCCGGTGAAGTCCTGTATATCTATCATAACACATTACATCTTGTGACTATGTAACTAGAAGAGAAACACAGAGGATCAAGCCGAATATTATTCAATTACTGTTTTTAGGGTGGCCATACTGTATGTGGATGAGACTGCTGAATCCACCTACAGACTGCACTGTAGACATCTATTATCTCTTAGAATTGTAAAAAAAGATATAAAATCATTTACAATGCTGTACATTGTGCAATTTTCCTTCTGTTCTTTTGTGATTTACTGTATTTATACATTTACTGTATATTATTTTAATTATATATCACATGAAAGTAATTCTCCATAGGAATCCAACATCATTCCCCAACACCACAATTAAATATGTCGTTTTTATTAAGACCACATCATACACTAAAAACAATCAGTTTATAAGAATACAAAGATTTGGCTTGAGAGAAGTATACTGTAGATACAGTATGTTACCATACAACTGCTCAAGGAAATTTACAATTGAAATATTGTAAGGATATACAGTACATGAAAAATCTGTGTATTAAATATAAGATTAAAAGTAACAGAACAGGTTTTAAAAATACCGCACAAAGAATTGTATTACAATACAACAAATGTTAAGAAAAAGAAACTAGCAGGTCATGTTGGAACACATCAACCCCAAAAAATATTTTGGTAGCTGAAAACAAAATTTGATTGTTTTATCTAGTGTTCACAAGACAAATATCTTGTGATAACAAATATCCTATTTCCAAAATTAACAGTCTAGTTTTTAAGGTCATAATACAAATTCATCTTTATCCATATTTAAATGGGAATAAAGGTATGGGAATAACTCGGTCATGATATATTTTTATCAATATTGCAATATCAATATCACTATTTTAAATGCTGGAACTTGATCAGCCCCTTGAATACAAAATGAAGATGGTTTTAACAATCAGTATTATTTGACCGCTTCTTGAAACATTAACCAAAATCACATGTGTCAAAGAATAGGTAGGTTAGTCTCAGGCCCGCCTGAGGGATACCAACCTTAGAAAGTATGTTGTAAACAATAAAAACATTTTATACACAGTATATATAAAATCACACTGGTATTTGTTTTTATCACAGTGTGATTCCATATTGACAGATATTCCAAAATCTTGATAGACACTGGAAGAAGACAATACTTGAGATATTGTTAATTAAAGCCCTCAAATGAAGTTGATCTTTACACAAATTTGGAACTGGTTCTTACTTTAGGCATGTAATAACACACATTTCATAGAAGAGTACAAAAACATAAACATAATGATAATGCTTTGATTAAAACACTGTTAAAAGTATACTTTTGAATGTGTTAATGAGCAACATTATATACAGTATCTTTACTTGGTTAATATAAATCATCAGCTAACCATTACATATACTGTACAGTATAATTATAGTAAAGGCCTACACTAGAAGTTGTGTACTCCAATCCTTGAGGGCTACAGCTTCTTTTGAATTTCATTCTACCTGGTTTTGTAATTATGTCATTGCATTACTTGTTTGCTGACACACATATCTCCTTTTCCAGGTCTGAAAATGTCAGAGAATTGAAGAGATCCATCAAACACTTTAGATTATATCACTTCAGGACAGGAGTTGATTGTCCTACACATTCACTGGCCTACACATTCAGCAGGATAACACCAACTATTTGAAGATTAATACTGTTTAGGCAAACATTTATATCAGATTTAAGTATAGAAAAATAAAATCTAGAAATATAGCTTAAAAACAAGAGTGTATCCAGCTTTGTCCTTCAAAATGTTGTCCTGTATTACTGGTAGAACATACTTACTAACTTACTAACTTTCTTGACACCGACCACCAAGCAGACATACCAGTTTAAGCCGTCAGCTTCTTATATTGGCTATTAAGCCTGGATTGGAAGGTTTCCATTTTACTGCTACTTTCAGATTGTGTATTGCTGGTCATCTCTTGATTACTCCTACACTGTAGGAGACTAATCACTTGCTTTTGGCACTGTGAAGATCCAAAATAATAAATCATAGGATCCAGACAGCAGCTCACACTGCCAATACACATGGAGAGAAGATAGGCCATGTAGGACTTATCACTGTACCCGGTGGCAAACTGCACGTAGTGAATGAGCAAAATGATGTTGGTCGGCGTGAAACAAATAACAAAAACAGCGAAGACTGTAATAGCCATGAAAATTGCTCTTGTCTTCTTGCTCCTGTTGGCAACATTGGCAGACCGGAGGCACTGAATGATACGGATGTAACAAACAATGATAAAAATCAGTGGGATGAAGAAAAAAATGGAGCAGAAAATTGGAAAGAAGTATAGGTAGTAGCCTGTAAACTTTTCGATTTCCAGCACATCATGGCAAGTGGTAATCCCCAGCTGTGGTAAAACGGCAGTCTGATCAGATAGGAGAATGGGCATGACTCCACCAATGGCAAGGAGCCACATGGCTAAAGACACAACCAGGGCATTCTGTTGGCTGCGCCAGGTGAGAGACTTCATGGGATAAACCACAGCCAGTAAGCGGTCCACACTTATACACATCATAAGGAGAATAGAGCAGTACATGTTGCAGTAGAAGGCAGAAGTTACTATGCGGCACATTGTAGGTCCGTATCCCCAGTTATTGCCATTGAAATGGTAAGAAATCTTAAACGGAAGGAGAAGGACAAACAGCAAGTCGGCAACTGCCAGATTCAGCATGTATATGACTGCTGGCTTCTTCGGACGAATTTTCAAGATGAACATGATGACTGCAATGGCATTCAGGGGACAGCTGATGATGAACACCAGTGTATAAACAGTAGGGATAAAAACCGTCATTAAAGGTCCAGTGAGAAATCGTGTGGCCTCTTGCGACAGCTTTTTGTGGGATCTGGTATGAGGGTGGATGTCTTTTTCAGGTTCTTCAAATCCAGATCCACTTCCATCCCCGCCGTTAACATCTAAGTAAGTAAAGTCTATAGGTTCATAGGTTGCTTTGAGATCAACCAGGGAGAAACCTCTTGCGATGCTTCCTGAAATGGAAGAATAAAAGTTATGGAACCACAGGGTTTTTTTCTATGGTTAATCAAAATAAATAGAAACATTAAATAAAGCGGGGAGCTACCTCAGAGTGTTTGCTACAAGATAGAAAGAAGTGGAAAAAACAGTTTTTTCTATGTATTTAATGTGAAATTCACTTTCACTTGTTCCTTGTTGAAGTCTTTGATTGTTATTCAGAAAACTTTAGCTTGCTCAGAGATTCATTTGTACTGTATGATCAATCACAATTTAGAATGCACTCTTTGTATTTTGTAATGGGAAGATTTTAGATATGTAACAATTTCACAGAGTTCCTGTAGATGAATGCACCTCAAGGCTAATTTACAGATAATGGAACACTACACATTATTGACCTTTATTGAAGCCTCTTTCTACAGAACGCATAGAGGTAGAACTAAATTATTTTTTTCGATCAACTTTGTCCTGTTTTTGTTCCAATGGCTGTGACGATAGAAAACTCTTTGCATTTCTAAAACCACCTTTCTAGGTATTGGTTTTCTAGATTAAAATGTAAAAAGCAAATGAGAGGAGTAAACCACTGTAGAATGAATTGTGCTGCTTAAACAATAAGTAGAACATTATTCTAACCTCTCCAATACAGGGTCATAGGGGAGCCAGAGCCTAATCAACTAACGCAAGGCAGGATACACTTTGGATGGGATGTCAGTCCATCACAGGGCATACACAGACACAAAGACAAAAAGATGCAAACACTCACAGCAGGGCCAGTTTTCCCAGAAGACAATTAACCTACCAGTATGTCTTTGGATGGAGAAGTAAACTGGAGCATCTAGAGGAAACCCACGCAAACAAAGAGAGAACAAACAAACTCCACACAGATAGTACCCCAGGAATTGGGCCTAGGGCCCCAGCACTGTGAAGCAATGCTAACCACTGTAACACCATGTCACCCATAATTAGACAAGTCCAGAGAATTTAGTTGTGGCAGGCTGGTCTTTGAAAGGAATTTAATAGCTGCTGAAGTACAGTACCAGTAGAGGCAGGTTAAAGGTGTCTATCACTTGCAAATAGGCACAGAGGGTTGTGATGAACCCATGCATTAGCAGACAGACTGATGCTCACATTTGGTGTGAAAATGATCAGTCCATGGAGGCAGTTCAATGGTAACTTTTTTAGCTGAGAAACTAAATAATCTTTTTTTGAAGTAGTGACAGGGAGAGTGGTGGAGTGTTCTTTTATTTCCACCAGAGAGTGCTCTGTTACTATGAGTAATCTAATGGATGACAAAGTGTGTCCTGATGATGGTTACTAAGTGGATTCTTGGTTTGCTTAAGCCAATTAGTGAGGCAGTTTAAGTATCATGATATGGAGAACAATTTGCTTTAACAGATGAGCACCTCTGAAGGCAACTAACTATACTTCTGTTGAGCTGCTGCAAACAAATCTCAATTGGAAAATGTAAGCCTACACAATACTAGGCTTACAAATACATAGCCTCAAGAAAACATGTCCAGGTTTTGCCATAACTAGCCATAGTATGCCTGATACTAAGTTTGTAATGTTTTCAATTTGACAGGTCATAATTCATAGCAAAAAATTGTCATGATGGTTTGATCTTTTCTTTTTGTCTGAGATGATGAATGTTGCAAGTCAAATTCACTTGTGGTATATTTACATATTTACATTTTGTTTGGTGCATTCATTTACCAGATGGATTTGTAAAACTGGTGATATAAATTAACTCAGACACAAACACAGATTATCTTGACTGAATAGTTAGATTCCTTGTAGTTTCTCCTCAAGGGATGGTTTTAAATCTTCAGATCTTTAAATTTGCAATGGTAACATGTTTATTCAGACCTTCTTGTCTTGTTTATACAGTTGAGGCTGAGTTAGTGAGTTTAAAAAAAGAACACCGTATAACTATATTTCAATCAATTTTTAGTTATTGTTATTTCTCAACACAAAGCTAAAAAAAGTATTTGAAGTGTCTTTGAGGATCACAAAAAAACATCAACCTTATTACAACTGAAACGATTCAAAAATGAAAAACGGTGCCCATTCTACAAAGATGGTCACACAAATTGACTGCATTATCAGGGTATTAGAAGTTTAAGGGTTTTCTCTTTATTGGTTTCTCCAGTGCTGGAATACTAGAGATCTTGCATCAAGTGTAATTTCTATTTATTTTGGCAACAATGTAGCCTGGTGTATACTGTATATCCATCCATTTGGTAATCCAATACTGGGTCACAGGGAAGCCGGAGCCTATACTCGCATGCAAAAAGTGTAAGCCAGGATACAGTCTTGGTGGGACAACAGTCTATCGCAGGTCAGACACACAGATACAGACATGCACTCACTCACACCACGGTCAATTTTCCCACAAGCCAATCAACCTACCAGTATGTTTTTGGACTGTGTGAGGAAACCTGAGTACCTGGAAAAAACCCATGTGAACAAAGGAATATCATAAAAATCACAAGAAGTGAACCCTGGGCCCCAGCACTGTGATGCAGCAATGCTTACCACAGAATCTGCCACCCCCTTAAACACCATGTATAATTTGTGTTTATTGTTTGTTTTCAATTTCTTTCATTTTCTTTGGTACTGATTTTCATTAACATTAATACTACCTTTTACCTTGAAGTTATATACAGAACTGTATTAATCAAGATGACATCATCATGAGCCTCTCCAATGCAAGGAAGCAACATTGTGGAGCAGTACTTTAGCGCTCTGGACATCTAAAATAAAAGCTGTGGGATCAAACTGCAGATAAAGATGCTGCTGTTGCTTACTTGAGTACAGTATTTAACTATATTGCTCACATTAAATACATAGATACAAAAATTGATGTAAATTTAATTTTTTTTAAATAAAATCAATAAATTCAACCAAAAATATTTTTTACCATTACCATGGCTGGATATGAGAACTATAATGTACATGAAGTTGTTGTCACATATTCAGCTATACTGTATATGTTTGTACAGCATACATAAGGCATAGTATAGTATTAATATTCATTAATACTTTTGTTGAATATATTGTTGAATTATTATACGTTGTATCAATAAACTGAATTCCATTTGAATATTTGTTTTCGGTTTTCTGTTGCAAGTTTTGTATTTACTAAGAAGTTGCGTTTCAGCTTCTTTTCAGCAGATTACATTACATTATTTGCAAAATTAAGAACTGTTGCATTCATTTAAATATTTTTCATTTATGGCACAAAATTAAAATGGACTGCAAATGAACATGTTAAAACTTTTCAAAAGAAGAGACTAACAAATACAGGAAAAAAATGGAGATACGAATAGTATGATAAATGTTTTTAAAGCAATAAACTTGATACGTTTTAGTTACATTCGGGCTCAGAATTAGAAAAGCTGTCTTAACTTTGTTTTCACTATCTCTAACATACATACTTTTGAGAACTACAGGAAAAGTATAGTTGATAAAGGGACAGAAAGAAAAAAAATAGTATTAATTAAAACTCTCACTCACCATTATGTCCTTCAGAGCAGGCACTATGCGCCATAAATAGTGTAAAAAAACTAAATAACACCAGCGCTTTTAGCCCCATCGCTGTAGTGATTGCAACTCTTGTCACCGACTCTTTTAAGTTTGGGGAAAAAATACTTCTACTCAGAGAAAATACTTGCTAATTTAAATTTTAAAGTATTTTTATATTACACGAAGCCAAGAACAATCGGTTTTATGAGGCAAAGCAAAGCAGAATACAAGATCTGGAATTCGATCCAAAAGAGAAGACAAAAAGTTCCCAGTTTTTCACCGAGTCTGAAATGTACAGAACAGACCTGTTATTCCTACGCCCTGGTACTGGCGTCTTCTTTCTCTATGGCCTGTCAAGGAATAGTTCAAACTATTAATCAGTCGGCTGCACATTTTTTTCCAGTGATGTCAGCATCCTAATTTGAGAGCTTTACCAAAGAAAGGGTTTAAGGAAGAGCAGCGCTGACAGAATTCCGGAGAGCTTTTTCTCTCAGTGATAAGAGAACAATTATCACAAAGTAGTTTTAATACAAGTACTGTACAATAAACCACTGTACATATGTATGAAGCTGTTAAATGTTTTTATTTGTCCAATATTTATTCCATTATTACACATTTAAGGAAGCCAGTCTGAAATATTTAATGAAAGAGGACCCACCTACTGCAAACTTCTATCAGTGCTATACCAAGAGCATATTTTTGAATTTTAATTACAACTTACCATTTTAAACATTTCTAAAATTTATAAAAAGTTAACAAAGCTAGATGATAAAATATCAAGACATCTGGCTTTAACTATTTCCAAATGAGATAGAACCACTCTTAAAGAGCCAGTGTCTAGACATGAGTAGGTCATGGTGAAAGGAAGTAAGTTAACATGCACACTACATTCCTTAGGTTCATTTCAGAACATAAATTGTCTCAGGGATCAAAGACAGACTGCATTTATTCATGATGTTGGCCAGTCATTGTAGTGACCAAACAAAGTTGCATATCTCTTATTTGAGTTTTTGATTAAATATGCACTGTTGGTCAAAGATATGGGATCATCTGTGGAGTATTAATGAAAAAAAAAAAAGAAAAAGTAACAGAATACAGCTTTTGCGGTCGTCTTACTGATGGGTTTTCTCACTGAAAAAAAGAACTCTTGTAATTACTTGTGCTAAGTTGTACAAACTACAGTTCACTTGCAATTAATGTTTTTTACTCTTTAAACAACACTTCTAGAGAATGTTGTTTCATCAGTCTTTTTCACTGCTCAGCTGAGTTCATCCCCTGACATTCCAGTGTGTGCTGGTGTGAGGACCCTCATTCATCACTTAGTCTGTTTAAAAACAACTGCTTTTTCTAGAAGTCATGTCCATAGTGGAGAAGTGAAAACGGAAAAATTTGACCCGTCATTAGCTCTATTGTTCTAATATTTCCAAGGTTACCTCACAATGTTGTCAATATACACTCAGAATATACATAGACACATGCTTAGAGATATTAAAAAAACAAATGCTTTTGATTCCAATTTTAATGTGTCTCAGTATATATGTCTATTATATTGTAGCACCCATGTGGGGCGCTCAACAGCTGCTCCGTCCCCTTTAGCCATGTGCACGCAGGGTGGGCTGGCAACAGTGCCTGAGGGGAGGGACTTGGGGGAACTGGTCTGTATATAAGGGGGCAGGGGCTGTGATGCGGCCTCTTCCCTCCCATGTGTGTGTTAGTGTAGGTGCAGCACTGTAACCCCTGTTCCTGTGCGTGTACCTTTCCCCGATTCTGGTTAATAAATGTGTTGTCCAACCCCCTTTCCTGAGTCCTACGCCTGCTCCATTCTGTACCGAACCCCACGGTGATTACAATATATATATATATCCATCCATTTTCTAACCACTTCATCCAATTCAGGGTCGTAGGGGAGCCACAGGCACAAGGCGGGGTACCGGCCCATCCAAGGACAGACATGTACTGTACACTGTCACACCAGGGTCGGTTTTCCCACAAGCCAATCAACCTACTGTACCACTACAGTATGTTTATGGACTGTGGGAGGAAACCAGAACACCTGGAGGAAACCCATGCAAACACAGGGTAAACATTAGATAGCACTTTTCATCCCAAAAGATCCCAAGGCGCACTACATACAGGAAGAGATTCCTCGACCGCCCTCTCATCCTCACCACCAAACCTAGACAATGAGTAATGTGGGGTCAGTCTCCACAAAGTGAGGTACAGTACTTCAGTTCTTGTACTGTTCCAGTCACCATGAAAACCTGGCATCCTGCATGCTCAAGAAAAGGGGCTCTAGCAACCATGTTCTCAACCACAGAAGAGAGAGCTGCAGTGAAATAAGCTCCAGTGGTGTCCATTGTGCTCCCTCCAAGTGTGGAAGCTGGTGGGCAACAATTTCTCTACAAAAAGCAATGCCATACACAGGCATTTTTTATCCCTGCCTCATTGAAGTCCTTAGGCAACCAGCTTATGGTGACGGGAGTAGGAGGCAGTTGTTGACAGAATGTTGTCAAGCAATTGGACTGGGGCAGAAACTGATTTCAGCAGCAGTAACTGTGACAGAGCTGCCCTTCTCAGGGTGCTTCCTGCTCATCCTCGTAGGGAGATGGTCAATCAAGGTACCCTAAACATGTGGCAGTAACCACCTTTATATGGCTGAGTATTGTACTTGGGCATTCAAGATTCTACAAGCCCAGAGTGGAATGAAGCCAAGACACAGAGGTAAATGTGCCAGCACTGGAGCCAAATCTTCTTTAACTATGAAAACAGGTTTTGTGCAAATCATCCTGATGGCTATTGGCACGTTTGTAACAGATGAATGATAATCAGCATAATGTGTTTACCTATGTTTGTTCAACAAAATATCAGTGTATTTGCTACAGATAAGAACTGCCATTTTCCTGATAATTGCTTTGCAACTGTGTTGTAGTTGTACGGTAAAACTTGAAAAGTATTGTTGATGTCTAGTATAGAAATAGATTGCCAGGAAGTCCCTTAATTATCTCAATGAGATGCTAGAGCTTAAAAAAGTAATCGATATACAGACTGCTTTCCAATTTGGTTGTGGAGAAATAAAAAAGAGTTCTTACTATCAGGATTGACAGCCTTTCAGGAATTAATGCCTCAGTAAACTTTACAGTCTCATGTAAACAAAAAGTATTTATTTGAAACCATTAAGTAAAACATTCTTTAGCCAGGAAAGAAGTGAGTCACTATGGGAGTGATCAGAGAGTGCACAATTATGAAACAAATAATATTTAAGCCCTCTTGTATTTTCCACTAATATATCAATTCTACAAGATTAAGGACAGTAATTATTTAAAATCTGACATTTCAGCTGGCAATAACAGGACAATATAGCATAACACCCTTTGTTCGGTGCAATCAATCTGCAGATTAAACTTTAATATTTGAAAAAAAAAAACCAATGCATGTCAAAACTCTCATTTATTTTAACATTAAACATGTTGTCACGTCGTACTGTTTCAATAACCAAGAAAGCTGCAGAACAACCCAGTTATTTTATAGTTTTAAAATATGCATAGACATTTGTTTTACTTTTGCGAAGTTCAAAGGCACAATTTAACACTTAAAAAGCAGAACATATCTGGGCAGATAGTAATGTTCTGTTTTACTACTAATGGCATGACACTCCGCATTCTTTAATGACGGTGAGGCAGTAGTGCATTTTACAATAAGAATTCATTCATTTTTTACATTAAGTGAAAGGAATGGTGTTGTCGCTCATATATCTTTGTATATAACATTTAATTTTTAATAATTTTAAAATATATTCCATATACAATCACCAGTAGAATAAAGAAAATAAGAAACTCTTAATCAAAGAATGTGCAGATTTTGGTTTAAATTTCACAATTGTTTCCAGTTAATTAAAAAAAAACATTACGGATTTATATTCTTTTCATTACTGACCTATGCTTTCACATGGATTCTCTCTCAAACCCATTAGCATTGCATATACTGACAACTCTTCAGTATTAAATCAATATCATGCTGAAAACCAGTTAAAGTTCTGAAAAAAACATTTTCTCTGACAGAAATTAAAGAAGGCACAATCTATTCTTTTCCCCCCAACTTTTCTTTACAAATTAAACAGTAAAATATTTAAGACATAAGGTTAAATTAAACCTGGAATTGGGAAGCACAAATGAAAACATCATTTTCCATAGAACTTCTTATTCAGAAGGAATATCAGCAGGTTAACATTGACTTTAGCTTTGTCAAACATCTTCATCACTGAAACTCCTTCGTACTGCAGCTGAAGTAAATCCTAAAAATGTAAAAAGACAGCTGTTATAAACCGAGCTCATTGCTCATTCCTTTTATTAGTCTGTTTTAATTTAAGTATACCACAAAAATGCTGGATAACATTTACGCAATAAATACAGAGGCTACCTTTAAATACAATTCCAAAATTGCTAGCACAGATGTCTTAGACATTAAAAACAAAATGCTATGATTACAAATGAACTGTAAGCTAATTGAATTAGCTTCGACTCCTCCTTTCAGATTCACAGCAATTCTTGAAAGGTGAAAATGCGTTTAATTTGGAATTCACTGCTATACTCTACCTGAAAATGCAGCTGGACTTTTTCCATCTCAACCCCCATAAACTTGGCTTTAACTTCGAAGTCACCAACTTCCTCAGTGGGTGAAATGTCAAACATGACATTCTTAAACCTGATAAACAATGAAAATACAGGATATTCTATTAACACTCAAAGTAACTACAGTGAAACCAACCATGCCAAGTAATATTTTTCCATTACATTGACCCCTGCAGTCTGCACCTGAAAGAACTTCACTGCAACCTAACTTGCTTAAATATGAAAGCCTATTAAAGTGAAAGCCAAAAATTGCAATTGTGTTTTCTGTTTTGGTGTTTTCAGTAAAATGTCAGCTTTTACAGAAGAAAGGTAGTGAAGAAAGGTTTCATAGTTGGTGTTTTAAAATATAATAAGTAAAAAGTAAACCTAAAAAAACATCAATTAAAAGAAAATACTAAAGAAAAAAACAAGAGCACACAAGAAAATATCCATCAAACTCTTTTATTATCAAATAATTAATAAAAAACACTTTCATCAATGGCTATTGGTGCAGAGGTTCAGCTCCTATTTTGCAGTGATAATGCTGTCCTGTAATCTGGCTGACTTTAATTATTTTTTATCCAATATCAAGATTGATTTATTCGTCCATTAGCCATGGCGTTCAGAATCTAATATGTGTGGTGAAGTTAAAAACCAAACAAAGACCATCAGAAAGTAGTATACAGTGTCCAGATAATTTAGAAATTACTCTAATATGCTCTGGAACTGCACTGCTTCTGTACCAAATTTTCTAATTGCATGTTCTGAAAAAAAAGGAGCCCCTTTTCGAACAGTATTTATAAAATAGATTCCAACTAAACAAGATGTTTAAAAATAACTGGCAAAATGATAAAAATACATTTCACAAATTCACACTGCTCACAGTACACTGTTTGCAGTACTTTTTGTTGTAATACCATCCATTTGATGAAATGTCTTTTGGGACTGGGTGTGTTGTCTGCCATATGTATTCTGGTAGACCTGTGGTTTAGTAACTACAATCCAGGAACTTGGATAAAAATAGGAAATCTCAGACAATAAATGAAATAAGAAAAAGAGGCAATACTTCCCGTAATGGAAAGACCCGGCTTGGCTTCACAAAAACCTTTAACAATGAAGCTATTTCTCATGTAAGCGAAAAGCAGTGCCCAGGAATTATGGCAGAAAGTAGTTTGTGCTCAGCACTTACTGGTTTGTCTGCAGACCTTCTATCTCTAGAACAACTCCTTTCTCATGCAGTCGGGCTGCGGAGTACTTCAAGGACGTCTGCTTAGATTTCCGACTGCCCTTCTCCTCTCCCTTCCCATCCAGCTTTATGGATCTTCTCACATTCCTGCAATCAAAACAAAGACAAAGATATCTTTCTAAGATACCAGTTGCGAGACGGATCACCATAAATAAAAGTGTATTATGACTACAATTCTGTAACAAGTGCGGAGTTCGACCTGTGCCACTTGTTCAAGCTTGCTCTTGCTGTATTTTAAAGTGCTCCTTGATGTGTACGATCAGAATCCTGCAGATTTTCTAGGTCTCTTTCAATCCTTCCTCATTTAATTCATCCCTGAGAAGGGATTAATAGATACAGTTTACAGGAACAATTTACAACTTTTCCCAGGTGACAAACTTGCTAGAATTTTAAGAGACCTGCTAAATTCTGCACCAGAGGACTGGAGTTAGGAACTCTTACACATCAGGCCACACGGTGTAAGACCTACAAGGTCCACCCACACAACCACTTACTGCTGTCCCTCCATTTTGGATAACTGAGATGTTAAGTAAATTCATGCCAAACATTTCCCTTTGTGTTTCTTACATGACAAGTACAGAATGAGTCTGTCTGATTGTCATTGTGCTGTACCTTCAAACTTAACAATTATAAGAATTGCTGGAGTGTTTGGAAGCTGTTCCTAGAGGTAGAAGTTATTTATAAAAAAAGGCAGTGTACAATACGAGTCATGTGGGGTGGACTCAAACAACTTGTCCATTAATACGATGTTGCAGTTTAGCTTTTTCAATTTTAAATGAATACTAGATTTAAACCATATACGTAGTGATTCAAACCACCACACTATGTGTGATATAATTCAGCAGGTGACAACACAATGAGTGAGAATGCTGCTGAAACAAGGCTATACAAAAGACTCTACAGCTGTCTAAATTCACAAGAATTTGTGAATTCTTGGAAAGTGGGGGAAAAAAGTGAAGAGGATTCTCTTGGGAGCAAAGAAATGGTGAGCTTACTTTCTATTGAGGTTGTCCAAGCAGGTTTTGATGTACGTGTCATAATAATTGATCTGGTCTTGATAGAAGGTCGTCTTTGAGTTGAGTGCACTCAGTGTCTGCTGAAGCTTCACCAGCTCAGCCTTCCTGCGCTGCCGATACCGTCGCTGGTTTCTTATGTCCTGCAAACCGCAACAACAACTTCCATTTAACTCCTTAACAGATTCTATTCCAATGTACTGACATCATGGTGTCTTTAAGCCAATGCATACTTGATGCAAGTGCAATAACCTTGCAAACATGCAAACATTTTCTTATAAGAAATTAGAACAGAATTTAAAGCAGTTACTCATATTTCATCTTAGCTCCAAGATCGTAATATTTGAAGATGTCTGAACTAAATTTCTCAGTGAAAACAGGTTAAATTGTTTTTCTTAATTTGTCTCCGTAAAAGGAAGAAGTAAAGAATTACTCCTTGTCTTGCTAGTGCCTTTTATTTTACTCAAGTGTGTTTCGACGTATTTTGTTAATTGAAAATTGTTCTTGAGTTCACATACACTTGCATTCAATGGCCTTTTAGTGGGAAGAAAATAACACTCTTGAGTCAGACTGTAGGTCTAACATACCTCAGCCAACAAACTATTTCATACATGTAATAAATACATTATATATTACGAATGGACCTATTTAAGCAATTAAACTGCCAACTATGAATCAGTCTGTTCTCTTAATGTTTGTTGTAGCTCCTACCAACCATATAATCTCAGTTTAACAGATCATTACTAGCAATGATCCTGGAACTGATTCTTTAAATAAACAAAAATGATCCAAATCAGAATCTGGTGAGCTCTCAATTAGCTTTTAATGTCTTTTTGAGAGCAGATACCTTTGAGATGTCATTGATGATGTCTTGATACTTGTTCTCTGATGAGACCACACCAGCCTGCTCCAGTGTTCTCAGGTTCCTCAGGATTTTCCGCTTCTTCTGCTCTAATGGGAGCTGTCCATCTTCAAGGATGGACTGACTGATCTTCATTTTATCAGGGGTTTTGGCATCTTGAACAGCACGTTTCTCAATTATTTTTGCGTGTTCAGATTCCTGGAGGAACAAAGCATTTGCCAGCTTTATCGACAGTGGGAGCCCTTATGTCAAGGAAAAGTGTTTGCCATTCTTGTCTACAGCCAAAGATGGGGAACGACAAACTTGAAAATAGTCCTGAAAATGAAAAACCCAAATATTGGCTCAACCTGTAATGTTTTTTGACAATATTCTGGACGTCAGTGAAATGAATTAACGAGGAACACCAAACCACTTCTCCAAAAACCTCAGAGTGCAACCCGTTTTAAAGATTCAAGCAGTATGCTTAAAAAAAATCTTTAAGATTAATAAACAAAGAATGCAGATCACTGCACTTGTAGAAGCAGCACCATTACTGAAATGCCGTGGTGGCAAAACCACAACACTTCACCTGCTGTGCAGAGGCAGGAGTCTCCAAGATCTCGATCAACGTTTCTCCCGGCTGGATTCGCACCACATCCACAATCAGCTTCTTTGTCCTGTAAAAACCAAATGCAAAAATGTATTTATTATAAAGAGAACCAAATTCAGTTTGATGGCACACATCTGTCCAATTCTGTGCCGTCTTTCACTATTAACCTGCAGACAAAAGGGTAAGTCTATGCCAGCAGGTGAGCTACAGCAGAACTGTAGCTAGGACTTGGGTAGAGGGATGAACTGCAGCCAGACAAGTGGTGCATCTGTGAAATGGACCCATTCTGATCACTCCTACAACCTCCACCACAGCCTCAATCCTATGGTCTTGATTAATCCCATAGTGCACATTAATATTTTGCACATGTCATAATTCTAATAATACAAGACGAGGTCACATGTAAATTAAAAAAAATATATGAATGCTCTCCTTACTTCCAAAAGCAATTCACTCAATGCAGAGAAAGTTCTGACTTGGTATACATTGGTATATACCAGTCACTCATTTCCATTTTTATCAGTATACACAATGTTGCTCAATATTTAATCTACAGTTGCATAGCATACTGTATATTAGTTTGATGCATAGGATTCTGTGGTTTGTAAATGTAGGCATTTACTATATATTAAATAAGCTTCAATCCTCTTAGCTTAGAATGCTCCACCTTGCACAATTCTAAGCTTAAAGGAAACTTTCTTGCCCACGAGCTTAAATACTTGAAAATGTCAAAAGTCAGTTTAGCTAGTAAAGGTTATTGGTGCTTTCACCTGTTTAGGTCATACTCAACACTCTGAAACATATCCAGAAGAAAAAAGGAGAGGACAAATGTGTTCTGTCTGTGGTTAATAAATTAATTGCACATACTGTACATAACATTTTTTCATCCCAAAGAGTCTTAAAGCACTTCACTATAGAAAGGGGCCCATTTCAACCACCACTGAAGTGTAGCACCTACTTGGTTTCGCGGGGCAGTCACTGTGCTCCAGAAGATCAGTTAGAGAATTGAGCAACTGCTTCACCAATTGAATTAATGGGTTACTTTAGGTGGACCAGACGGTGCAAGCCCAGAGCAAAATGTATTCAGGACTTTGCGATGAACACTCCTACATTTAGAAACACTGAAAATCAGGATGCTCTAGAGGGAAGAGTTCAACCTGGGGATCCACCAACACAACCAGATTGCTGTTGTCTGTGTTGCTTGAAGTTTAACTATCCCAGAACTGAGCAGGGCCAGCATTGCTTTCTAAATCTGTTTAGATTAGCCTAGAAAATGGCAATGCTACTGTCATAATGCATTTATAAGACTCTGACAAAGTACTTCCCTGATGCAATCTCTGCTGATCTCTTCCCTTTAAAAAAACAATGTGAGGGAAAAATGTTTATGCTGTAGGCAGAATATATACAGCAAAACAATTTTAAATGTCTGATGGAGTTCTAACTCTACACACTCTAAAATGGGTCTAGTTAGATACTCCAGATTAAAAAAAATGTTTAAACTAAATGACTTTAAAGAACTTTAGTCTAGCAGTACTGTATTTAATTGAATCTATATCATATAAGATGGAGATTGTATGATTTCTGAGCAATCTGTACTGTGAGTAAATAATCCAATTTACAAACTTTGGCACAAGTGACCATATTAAAAGGTTTGGTGAATTGTAATCTTACAGGGATTTATATTTGCTCTAGATATTCAAATATCTCTAGCAAATGTTGAGTATTATATTTTGTCCAGTGAGCATACATAATATTCAGTACATCACATCCATTTGTACAGTCCACACACATACTGAACATATTCTGTTCACACTAGTAAAATTTCCTAGGGGAATCTGAATATCCATCACAAATGTTACATAGTATTTTCTGCAAATGTTTACCCAAACAAGTGTATGTCACTACTATAGCTACTCAGATTGCTTTGCACTAGATATAGAAAAGGATATGTGGAGATAGTAATGTGCTCATGGAGACAGAAACATTACTGAATATATGGGATACAGCAAAATCACACTTACATCATTGGTCAGTATTGTGTATATAGCTCATGGCGTTTCTAAAGTTAGGAATAATGCAATAGATTTATGTTTAAACTACAGTTGTGCTCAGTGAGATTTTGAAATGAAGGGCTTCAATTTTCTCTGTCACACAACAGTAAATTAATTTCTAAACTACAAACTAGAAATAAGAATTCAAACAATATTCCAGTGACTGAAAACTTTCCCAGAAAGAGCTGTTGCATGTCAGAACAGTAATTAATTCAGCCAGGAAACATCTGACAGAGTGCATCGTATAACCTCTTATGGGAGTTCTTACTCATAGGCCGATATCTGCATAATCTTTGCTCCCATGCTCAGTGAATAACCAGAAAAATCACCTGGAAATAACACAAACAGCATACAGAGAAAAATCCCATTTTAAAGAACATTTTTAAATCTAAGTTTGATAAGTATCACTGCAAATGGACAATCTATGCTTTGGTTTCAGGATTTTGGAATCGTTATTATTTTTATTTTGTAATTTAATTTTTGAGCAGAGGGAACTAACATAAAAATTGACAAACAGAAACGCAACCAAAGAGTATCGATATTTCTATTTAAAAACTCGTCAGCGTCAGCTGTTGCTTCAAATGTATAAAGCTGAGAACAGAAGTCAGAGAACTGTACTTTAACTGTAACTGATGGATATGGAGTCCTCCTTGTTCTTTTTAATCTGTGGCGGTTAAGACCTATTCAAACAGGAAGCAAAAGAAAATTGTGCAGCATTGGATTTAGCACTTTGCCACATCACAAACAATGTGAGAGATCAGCTCTGAGGATACATCAAGCAACACGGGTTCTCCAAATCTCTGTTAAATGCTGAATGAAAACTATCTGTCAATAAAAAAGTATTCACATCTCTACGGCTTAGCCTACTTTAAACTAAAGGTAAAATCAAAAGTGTTAGACACAGCAGCATAACGAAGTTGAAGACTTTAATATTTGTAGGTATCTGTGCCAAACCCACGTTATTTAAAGGATACCACTTTCTGTTCTACTACATATTATATTCCTTTCCAAAAAGAAGCTATCCTGAGCACAAGGTTGTCAGGGAAGTCAATAGTTCAATAACTGAATATACTTAGGCAAATTAGAAACAAAGGGGTAAAAACAGCCAAAATGCATCTAATGCTAAATTTAATTTCTGAATATAAGACCCTGCTAATATAATTTACAAAGCTAATTTAAAATGATCTTGGTAGAAATATAAAATATTGGTATGTTAAAAACACTTGCAGAAATAAGAGGCACCAAGTACAGTATATTCAAAGCAAACACACTGAACAGGTGTGGCTCATGTGTTAATCAAATAATCCCAGCATGCTTAGGATCATGTATGTAACATTGGACAAGCTTAGCATGGTTGCAGGAGGAGACCTCAGTGACAACGAAAAAGGGGTGATTGTTGAGGAGTGTTGGACCAAGAAGGCTCATCATTGAAGTTCAAAGGATTTATATAATCAGTGAAAAGCAATAGTGGGTGAAGGTGCATACTCCAGAATTGTGATATCTATGTACACCTTTGCAGTGAATGGTAAAACAACAGGTGAGTAACTGTAGATCAAGTGACTGCAAATTACAACCTGCAGAGTAAGCAGACAGTTTCACCATGACTCCAAGAACAAATCTTGAGATTGATGTGCCTCTTTCCAAGGGTAAGAGCACCATATGCTTCTTCTGAGAAAAATAATATGTGATAACCTTGTAGTGTTTGTTTTGAAAATGTGCAATGTTGCTCGACAGTAATTGCGTTTCCTGTAAACAAGCAATATCATCTCTGCTCCTAATGAGAAACACTGAGCCTCTAAAATGATAATTGGACAATTTTCATTCCAGGTTTTAAACCATCATTTATCCCCGATTAAAAAAATAAGACCAGAAAATTTGGAAAAATTAGATATCTCACTTGGCAGCCAACGGACTATAGTGTTATGAAGCCACCACGACACAGCACCCTTACCTGCAAGAAAGCTGCATATTCTCAATAACGAGTCATAATTTCTCACCCCAACATTCTATCTACGCATGTCTTTGCACAGCCCTCTTCTTCCCTGGTCCCTAATGCCATCAACCACCATCAAGCACTGAGTGATCACGAAGGGGCTTATTGTGAGATTTGTTGCTTCTTTACCAACAGAAATAATATCTAACATGAACTGGTGCCATTATAAAAAACATGTACTAAGTTATTCATATCTGAAAGCTGCCATGAGATTGTCTACTGTAAAAAGTCAATGGGGTTGTTTCCTTCAACACTCTTAGCAAGCCAACTATTCTGACATTACAAGTTCGACACCAGATTCCAGACTCGCCATCTTGTACTGCAGCACATCAAGGCGGGGGTTCCATTAACTGATACAGACTTTCTGCTGGTGAATTTTGGTGCGGCTTTTATCTTGCCTGGCACTGTGCTGCTTCATGACTTCTGCTATAGCAGCAACCTCCTGCTGTAGGAAGCATGAGCTTGCAGTCTGTCAGACAAGTCTCATCTAGGCCCTCTGTTTTCTTAATGCTCTAACTCTCCAGTGTGGATAGAGGGGAAGAAATTGTGCTCTTTATTTGTGGTGGCAACACAAAATGTTAGGCAGAATTCTTTGAAGAATGATTTCAGGAAGGTATTAGTGATTTTCTTAAAGAGAGTTTTTTTCTGAAGAAACTTTCAAGAATATTGTTTTTGAACACTTAAAAACTATTTTGTTCCCAACTAAATGCAATAGTACCTTAGAAAGTTATGCGTGTTATCAGGCTCTTGGGTTTTCCTTCTGTCCTTATCAACAAAGAGCTGGTTACTTGTATGTGCTCTTTAATATGTAAATACAGTGTTTTTTTGATGAACTATCATCTCTTAGTTGATACTTTGTATGAATGAGATTTGCTCAAAAAGCAACATTCGCACAATGGGCAATTATTTCCAACATTTCCTGCCTATTTCCTCTCCTGAAATGACCAAAATGACAAACAAAAACCATGTTTTGTTCTCTCCCCTGGGAAGCTAAGGTCAGTCAATCTGGTATTGATGGTACCTAATAATGATAGGCACTAAAATACAATGGTTGATACTTTCTTCATATATTTGTCTTGGTCTGCTCACTTGTATTTTAGTGTAAAACAAAGGTTTATTTGATGAAACATGGACATTTATTTTCAGGTATCAACATATTATCTAAATATTCATAATGGAAATAATAAGTGGTTTTAATATACAGGGCTTAAGACATGTCAACAAAGTGAACCCAGATGAGTGAACCCAGAGCTCTGGGAACACAATAATAGCATTGTGCACAAACAAAAATACTTACATTTAAAGAAACATTTAAACCAAAGGTGTTATAAACTCTGGAAAATGAATTCTAAAAATCTGAAATCCTTAATTCCTTAAGCCATTTTTAAGGCCGCAGCTAAAAAAAAAAGTTAATTAAACTGGTACATCTATAGTTTAATATATTTTGTCTTATAAAGGAATTATTTCATTTTAATGTGTATCATATATCTTGTAAGGCCAAGTTTGCACTTTGGATTGCTTATTTCTGTTGAGAGTAACTTTTTGTTAACTTAAATTTTTGGCAAGTGAGTCCTAATTCATCATGGAAAATACACGTTTTCCCAGAACTCATTCTTTCTATAAATATAAACTGTGAACAAAATGGCAAAATCACTTGTAGGAAGAGCAATACAAGTTAAATACTGTTTTAAAATGCAACACTTGCAGTTTAAAAACACTCTTTATCTTTGCATATAAATACAACATGTTAGGCAACATTGTACATTCTATTAGCATACAAGACGTAAAAGTGTTTTTTAAGATGTACTTCTGTTTATCAAGCTCTAGACAGACTCTGAACAACATAAAGGAAGCTAACAGTCCCTTATCAGAGGAAATACTACAATGTCACAATCGGTCATCTCTCTGACCATGCCTATGTTTACAGGGCCTTCCTTTTAAAAACGAAACATTACTCAACATTCAGCCTGCATGTACATTAATTTTCTCTTCTCTGATCTGAGTTTTGGTAAAACATTTTACATTTGTTTCCAGACACGTCATTTCTTTAACATACTAAGCTTCAATTTCTACGTCGATTGTAACTAAAAACAAACCCACACAATGAATCTGTATGCACATTCATTTTTAAAGATCATTTAAACTGACATTACACAGGTTATTATTGTCACAAAAGTTTTTTATCTTAATATTTCCCTTGGTTGCACTTGGTTGCTGGAATCTTGGTTAAAAGATTTTCTTGGATTTTACACTTTTGAAAGTAATCAGTTGGGAACTATTCTAGATATACTATATAATTTTAAACTCACATATTCCAACATTATATTTTCCTGGAAGTTCATGAGCTCCATGAGCTCAGTCAAAAATTAAACTACATTATTTTATTCAATTTTCATTAAGCAACCATCATTTGGGCCAGTTAACAGCTTGAAATAGTTAACATTAATTAAAGGGTCTGGGGACTAGTACTGTTATTAACACTGTTACAAAATAAGAACTTGTTCCTGCACATATTAGTCTTTTGTGGCAAATATATGTACAAAATATTTAAATAATATGTAAAAATGAAAAGGAGACAGGAGAGTTTTGAAAAAAAAGCACTAATCTGCCTCATCTGGTTAATTGATAAACATTCTAAAGGTCTGCTATTGGACTTACAGGATTAGATGCTGCTAATACTGCACTAAAAGTTTATTTACTTGTTTATAGTATGATTTAAGATTTCTTTTCCCAGTTTCATAAGTTACCAAGTATTTTTCATTTTTCTTATTTTCCTTTTATTTGAAACTGGAAGTTTAATAATGAATGCCTTCTATACTGGGAGGTATAAGCACAATTTACTGTATGCATTCTTTTATAAACTTTTGTTCTCAGAGTCATTGGTCATTTTCACACACATACAGCAGCTCTCACTGATAAACTACCCTTACTGCCCATCACCCTCAACACTTCAACAATTAGGATTTACCCTGTTCAGGTTTTCTTAATAACTCTTACTTACAGTAGAGAACCTTTGCCTTTATGAAACATAATCCAAAGTTAATTTGTGATGACTTTAATTCCTTCATAACAGAAAGAACGGCCAGATTTTTTTGATATTTTTTATGTTTCACATTTATCAGTGTGGGGAACGTTTCTTAGAAAGCCACCTTAATAATTCCAAACAGCCACAGAAACGTGTGGCCTTTATGTACATCATACATACAAACTCACTTTAACTTAATGCAGCCTGGAATTGGCAACTTCATTTATGAAAAGCATTCTATTGATTTATGTCTAGTTACTTGACAACACTATCTTGTATTTCTAGTGCCTCAAGCTGATGGATTTCACCAGATAATAACTAATGTCATCCTTTTGGACATGTTCACATTCAGTAATTCATTGAACACAGAAATATGACTGCGCTTTAGTTGTGTTTCTTGGATTACAAAACCCAATTAAAGAGGCTCTAAAAACCTCTTAAAACACCATTATAGTGGGAATTAGTCAGGGCAGTCAGAAAGCAGACACTTACTTTATCATGAGACTTTTCATATCTTTGTCGTCTCCTTCCCGTAACTCAAACTTGCTGGTGAGGGTGAGAGAGATTTCCGTTTTGGCAAGCTGACTTAGTGCATTCTCTTTGTTGGGGTCACTTGGATCTACCGCTCCCTCCCCTGAAAAAACACACCAAGAGAGCAATTGTTCTGGTTTCCTAACTTATGAGTCAAAGGAACAATACCTTACTGATGGAAGAGCACCAGAGATCAGGAAATGCCTCAAAGATGTAATAACACACCAAGACAAAACTACAACGTTTCATAGAATTTAACAAAATATCTAAGCAAAGCTTCCTATTTAAAATAGCTGTATACACACAAAATATGAGCAGGTAATATTTGTCAAAAATAAGGCAGTAATGCATGCTTTCCATTCCAGGTTCCTTTCAACTTTTTAAAGTGAAGTTTATGATGTACAATCAGTGAAACGTCCAATAACCAGTTTCTAAGATACAATATGTCACTAATATTTTAGTCTTCCAACGATATTACGATCAGCATTTTTCTTAAAATTCCAATATATTCAATACAGCAGCTGTCTACAGTACAAGAAAAGGAAAAAATGAAATCTTACCCAGCAAAGATTCTACATCAGGAACATCTCCAAGATCTTCCAGTAATTCATGCAGTAGGTCACTGTGATCTGGAGTGATAGCATCTTTGTGTTCTAATACCAGCTGCAGATAAAAAACAAGAACCATTTAACTGAATTGAGGCCATGGATATTCCGCTACATCCAGCTCCAACAATGCAAACTTGGGACATCATAGAGGCCCATCAGAAGCAGCTGTGTCTTTGACCTTCAGAAATCAGTAGCTGCTAGCAATCCATCAGACAGGGGGCTACAGAGGGATTTCTGGAGATTGCTCCTTTAGAGATACAAGGTAAAAGGAAGAGAACCCTTTTCTGAACATGATTCTTATTGACTGGAAAATGCAAGGTAACTCTGTTAATAGAGAAAATACAGATGCCTCCAAAGGTGAGCAAAAGGAGATACTGGGTTTCCAGTTTTCTGAGCCCCTATCTGTGTTAAATATTGAATATACTGTTTCCCTGACTCAACACAGAAAGCAGGGACAACATCTGTCAGGTACAGTATATGGCACATATTACCAATACATTAATCTAACTACTATAGTACCGCTAATGTAACCAAGACAGCGGTCTAATTTCATTCTAGTTTTTGTTTGATGAATGATGTGTGAAAGGACAACATAAGGGCAAAACTCACTGATTATTTGTACAATGCAATCAAATAAAACCTGTGATAGTTACTGCTGCATACTAATTCAGTGAATACAAAAAATTAAGAAAGATGCTTTTTTGCCATGTTTGACAATGTTATCTACCATTTATATCTGTTTTCCCTGATTCCCCCTCCTGCTTACACAGCTCAGACTCATTTGGGTTGAACATACTGTTCCAATAATTTTATTTGAAACAACGCCAGTTGAATTTCTTGCGGCAGTGGTGGTGCCTCCTCCGCTGCACAGTGCTACAGGCATTTTGCCTTTGTTAATTACAGAAAATCTAATCCCAGAGGAAAATGACACAATTAAGGGGATGTTAATGATCCTGACGTGGTTTACAGTAAACTAATTTCAGTATATTTCGCTTGTGCTGGGTGGTTCTTCTGGTCAGAATCACTCTCTTGACAAGCAGTTCCCTCCAGAACATGTGTAATGACTGCCTGTTGCTCTTGCCCCCAGGTTATCAAAATCAGGCCTCTTTTCTTTTGGTTTACTCAAGGAATCCATAATTCTCTACAGGAGCTGCTGATTGGAAATTTGGCATTCCGCCAACAGCTAGTGGAGGTGACGGTTTAATGTCTAAGACAAATTTGGAAGTATATTGTCTTAATGCTTTTTATAAGGTAGTAATGTTCATACAAATTCAAGTTTGTTGTTGAAAGTATAACTATACTGATAAGGAGGTTACATTATTATTATTATTCAAATTGGCTCATGCCACCTATTATGGTTAAGCTTAGATTAAAATTATGCTTTATTAATAACATTTAGGGTATGCAGACTTTTGATGGCAAAATTTTAATTGCTTCTAATTCCTTCCTGGTTGCTTATGATCTCTCAACCAGTGAAACCCTTTGAAAGAGTTTTGACATCCCACTTATCACCACCACTACACAGGGACAATTTCAAGACAATGATTTTAAATCACAGAGCTGTGTATAGAACTATGAATCATAAGCAGCATGAAAAAAGTTTGCACACACACACAGTCCCATTTTACAGAATCATCTATGGTGACTAAAAATGCCTACTAAAAAAAACATGAAATCACTGAACAACTTTAAAGCTCTTAAAGTATTAAAACTACAAACTGTGCAGATTTACAATTTCATTTTGAACATGGAAAATATGCTTGTAAAAACAAGCAGTGCATTCCATTTATGAATGTCCCAGTACAGAATGCCTGTGCTGATGGTTTTCAGTACAAAGTCTGCTACAGACATCAATGGCCTAACAGGAGAGAAGACAGGAGGGGGGTGGTGCATATCCTTTGTACTATGTTTGTGTGGGAGAGAACTGGAATATGTGACTAAAGAGAGCATTAAATCATGTTATCTTTAACAAGGAATATTTTAGGAAATCTGCTTTATCTGTAGGTCCGGTATTTTTCAACATTTTGGCTTCACTTTCAATCTCATCTCAACCATCAACAGCCCTCATTTAAAATAGCTTTTATTCCACTAAAATGAAAAATACCTAATTTGTTCATCAAAAATAAAAATGTGGGTTAATACTTGCGGGGCAAAAAAACAAAAATGCACAATACCCTTTTCAAAACATTTTCCTGTCTTCTACTGTGCATTCTAATATAAAATACCATAAAGAGAGAGATTATTGCACAATAGAGAGCAATGACACCATTCAAAATCTCAAAAGGAGGACAACATGGCTTTTCAGTAGTGATAAACGTGTTTTGTAGAGAATAGCACATATAAACTTCTGGTTCTTCCAGTCACATATGGTAAAAAGAAAAATGTATACCCACACTTACTTTATGAAAAACAAAATGCCCCAGAACACAGCCAAAAAAAAATGTCCTGGTTTATTATAACATGCAATAAATTATTGGAACTGGCATGGCCTAAAATAGACTGTAGCATAACCATACACTTTCTGCCCACCCACAATCAAGCAATCACCTGATCTTACCGAATGAGTGTTGATAACTTCATCAATTGAGATGTAAATAACAGGTTTGCTTAGTGTCACCATGTCAGAGTATTCATCAACATTGAATTTCTCCTCAGGCTCTGGTACATCACATGCAGCCTGGAAAAAAACCCTGTAGAGAAAAAAATAAGCAAAAGAGGGTACACAAAACAGAACTAAAAAAAGCGAATACCAGCTCCTTCTGGGTACCTGATAGGGTAGACAACTGCTGTTTTTTCACACATTTTTTAATGCCTTCATCCAGATTGCACAGAAATGCCAATATTACAGACAACCTGAAACATTTGTTGTCTAATGGTTTCCAAATGGCTTGAAAACTATTTCAGTTCATCTTAGGTTTTTGAACAGGAACAGTTTTTTTTCCCCCACATTTACTTTTGTGGGCATACCTCACTTATAAAGAAATAATAAACCTGCAAAACAGGTTTACACTCTAGGATTACATGCACTGACACATTTCCTTGGCTTTCTGGGCAATCAGACTGTCTGATTGATTTGCATAGGCTGTTGAATGATTATAAAATTTGAATACTTTCAGCTGAACTCATTAAAAAACAGTTACAGTAACATTTTCAGGTATGTGAACTAGGCAGAAGAGCTTCAGCAGTTAATTTGTGAAATAGTAGCTATATCACTGCTGGGAGGAAGGCTGCCACAGTAAATGTGGGAACGACTTTGGGTTTGAGTTACAGTAAATGCTACTGCTGCCCCATTACTTGTTAATCTGTTTAAACTTGTTTGCTACCATGGTGAATAAACTGCCGCACAATTGTGGTCTATTCTTCCTAGAACTTGTAAACAACATACTTTGATCCTTTTTATCTACTTGCACATATTAAGATGATGTTGTTTTTTAATTACAATGTGAGAAAATGAAAATGAAGTGGGTTTGGATGCAGTTTTATACTGTTACAGCTTTAATATCTCTACATTTAATTGAGCAATATTAATATTACCTAAACAAATGTTAATGATTAATGTTATTCACTTTGTGAGCTTTTTAAATGTTATTTTAATTCCTGCCAGAAGAAAAGAGTGCTATACTCTATATATTTGACACAATTTAATTGAGGATAGTCTTAATTTCAAATATACATTATGCAGCCATTTTGGTTTTGTACTTCGGTTATTGGGCAAATGCACCATTTTGCAATACTGATTTGGAAACGATTGTAGTGTTTGCTAGTATTTGGACTTAATTTCCAAATCTGCATTCTACAGTACCAGCAGATATCCTCAAGCAAAGGCATTACATTTCAATAAAAAAGTCGAATGGTCACACATGGCTTATATGACATGCTTTAAACAGTTCACCCTTCATGTTTTAATATTGACGCATAGTAATTAGTATTTTGTGGGTGTACTTTTCTTTATTAGACAATGACACATAATCACTAACTGCTGACAGTATTATTCAGACTAGAAACAGCTGCCCTGAAAGTCCTATTGCAGCCTTTATAAAATATTGTGTCTGCTTGGGTTCACATTGTTACACAATGTTCCTGAAGATTTTATGTTTATGTCAACAGGGAAAATAATTTCTCTTTTTAAACTGATGGGAAGACTCAGTATCTAACTACAGAGGGAAATTCTGTCATGGATTTTGTTTTAATGGGAAAAAAAGTGCCTAAAACAGAAAATACATATTTTTACTTCTATAGATTTATCCCACAGTTATTTGAATGTAAACAGATCTACATTATTTTCATTTTGAGACACTGTGGGAAGGAGAGAAAAAGCAAACAATGTTAAGAAAGCTAATATTGTAAAATATAAAATAAGGGACATTATGTTAACACTGTACATTGAGATAAGTGAGACCTCATACTGGGAACAAATTTATTTTCAAAACAATTTTTTTTTTAGCATACATATAGACTGTATATAAAAAGTTACTGATGCCCTGGAACCAGTACAGAGAAGATTGACCAGACTCAATCTTGGGGTCAAAGGGACAACCCAGGCTTTCAGATTAAAACTGAACAGATCCTTTTTCATCTCTTAACATAGATGACTATGTGGGAACCGGATTCAAGTCTTCACAATCTTCAAAGTACTGACAATATCAACTAAACAGTCTTTCAGAATCAACCCTGAAACACACACATGTGACAAAACAAAAGTGAAAACTATGGAGAGGTGCATTTAAAACTGAGGAAGGAGGTACTTTCTTACACAAAGGCTTGCTAGAGACAATATGGAACAAACTACCCTGAGATTTAGTTAAAATCAACACCCTGAGTTCCTTTACCCTGAAAAAGATTCTCATTTCCACTACAAGAAAAAATAAACAGCAAATAAGCTACAGTATATGGGCTGAAATGCCCTTTCTTTTTTGTAAACATTGTCTACTTACAACTGAGTGGGGCATTCGAATAGTTTTATAGAGGGTGGTCCTTTGAGTTTATATAACTCAGCTACAGTTTGTGTAAGACTCCACTCAAGGCAACAGCAATGGGAGGATGTGTAGTGATCTGGTACCGTCACAGAGGCCGGGGACTTCATGGGTGTTTCTTACCTGAATTTCTGATACGTCTGGGAAATGTAGTTGTTCATGGAGGTCATGTGCGCATTCTCTCCTTCAAACAGTTTGTTGGCAGCTGCGTGCTGTAGGACCTTTGCCACTGAGCCCAAGTTCCTCCTCTGGTCTGAGTGCAGCTGTCCTCCAGCGGTGATATCAATTATGTCAAACCCGTCAGGAGCAACGATGGCAGGGTTCATGTACCGGTAATACAGCAGGTTACCAACAATCTGCAATGAACAACACAGATATACACTATCCATTTAAACCTGTGCTGTCCTTGTATTGTACACAATGTCAATTATATGAAATAACAGAAAACACATTTTCATGTCTTGAAGAAATTAGTCCTCGCTTAAGCACCACAGGAAATGATCACAAATGCCTAGCTATATGATGCGTAACTACACAGTATAATGATCACTCACTGCTTAAAAAAACACATAATGGCCCAACACAAAATACAGTTTAAAAACAAAATACCTTTAAAAGCTCATCTTCACTTGCGTCTGGGAATTTCTCATGCAGTGAGTTCTTCAGAACTTTGGCTATGTATCTCATGCCATAACTACATGCAAACAAAAGGCAACAATATGATGAAAAAGAAACACTCTAACAAGATGGTTACGATGCCATTTGCTAAGATTTTAAACATAAACACTATATATACAGTATATACACATACATTTCCAAACATGCACCACACACAAATATGGTACTCACTGTGTTAAGGAAATAAGACAATTTGGTGATTAAACCTTTGCATATTAATAACACGAACTGTTTCAGTTAATACAAAGTACAAAACAAAGTGCAAATCGTGTTATTCAGTAGAACACCAGTGTCCTCAGGTGGAAACTACAAATATTGTCAGCAGAGCGGATCTAGTGTTTCTGAACGGGTTATTATCTAGGTCACTGCTTTGAGGATGAACAGATCATCCTTTTACACTGTTCCAGGTTTCTTGCATGGACTTACGGAATGTTATCCAAGGAGGACACAATGGAGGTCAGCACTTTATCAGTGGCAGCTCTTAGGCTCCGGTTTGATACTTCAAGTTTTGCCCTCACTTCCTCATGAGATAAGGCCTGTTCCGTTGTGACTTCATAGGGTAGTTTGCTAAAACCACAAATAGAACAAAATTAAGTAAAAAGATCTAAGACTTATATCCACCTATAACTAAAATACAAGGATGAAGATATTCAGGTTCAACTAATCAATTACAAAGTGGTTGGAAAATGCAGTAATAAAAAAAAGTTAAAATGCCATTGGTCTTTTAGTAATATGCTCAGATACCAGGCATTTAAATCAGCGAAGTGAAAAGAAGTATCAGGGAAGCAAAATGTCACAGAACAATAACTTATGTCAATAACCTTTTGTCAACATTTTCAAAAATCAATGTTGATTTTTGCCGCCACTTAGAAATCTTCAGTAATACTATATTTTAAGCTTAAAATTGTAAATGTAGATATGGCTGCTACAGAAATGCTTTTGAATAACTTTATAGCAATATTTTCAGAATGTACTGAGGCTAAATAAATTTGTCTACATATCCAGCCCTCATGATCTAATTATATACATTGTTGTTGTTGATATCAAAAGAGTATGTTTTTCTCCCTTTGATACTATTTATTGGATTCCTTTACAACTGAAACTTCACTGTTTTTCTAAAAATAACAGATGTGCTTTGAGTACGTAATTAGCGGAGCATAAACACACAAGTGAAAATATGCACTTGTTTCACAAAACATGTTGAACTGTGAGCACTCTGGTAGTCTTCCTCTCTTAAGGTGAAGGCACTGTAGTGTGTCACTGGAGTAAGAGAGTCCCTTAATCAAGGGTCCCCAGTCCTGGTTCTGAAGCTCAGGTGTGTCTTCTGGTGTTCATCACAATTCAGCTCTTAAAGAGCTAAACTAGCCAGTTACTGGTGGAACCGGACCAATTTCTGCCAGCTCTTTCTGCCAGGTGTTTCTGTTTTAAAGAGATCTTGAAAACATGTAAACATACTGGCTCTCCAGGACTACAACTGGAGAGCTGTGCCCTAAATGGAGAAGGCAGGCAAACTAAACCTGACCTCTAATAATGTTGTGTTTTCTTACTAGTCAGACAAATAATATGTACCACAGGGACATCAACAGCCATTTGAAATAATTGCAAGAGAATTATTTTAATTTCTTAGTTGATTTGATCAAAAAAATGTAAAATCTACAAATTCCTTCCCTATCTGTGACTTAATGGCAGAAAGCAGAGATGAGCTTCATATTAGCCAATTCATTCAGACCCACAGGGGCACTATGACTGCAGTGATTCTCAGCTAGCTGCTACACCGACCTTGCCTCCCCAGTTGCGGTCTCCAATTGATTCACCCATGCTTTGTACACATCTACTGGATTGGTGTTAATGCCCAAGGATTTGTCATCAATTATCTCTTTAACCACAGGGGCCAAAAGCTGCCGCAGAGCATTCTGGCCACGAGCCCCACGATTGAAGCTGACCACCATCTTAATAACAGTTGGGTTTCCAGTGACAATATCCTGGATCTGGTCCACCTTAGACCTGAAAAGAAGGAGAGTGCTTTAGGAAAGCCCTAAAATTCTACACATAAGTAAAATCCTATTACAATGTTGTTGTATGACAATACATTAACTCTATAAAATGCAAACAAAAAGTGATACTATTTAATCCATGTTTCTATGAGAGCCACACATTACTGCAGGGGGTGGGTATGAATGCTCAGTGTTTTTTAATATGCTCTAGATCCTTGGTTCCCAACATTGATCCCAGGGAATCACAGAATCTTTGTGGGATTTTTCTCTCGCTGAGTTTTTAAACACAATTCACTTTTCTATCTGGCATACATTTGAGATTTTTAAAAATTGTTTAGCTCTTGGAACACTGAAAGCTGAAACATGAAAAACAAAAGTATCAACAAGCAAGCAGGTAAGTTAAAGATATTAATCAGACACAAACAAGTTAAATTCACACCAGAAGGCTAATTAACTACCAGTACGTCTTTGGACAGTGGGTGGCAACCAGAGCACCCCGAGGAAACCCATATAAACACAGGGAGAACAAACAAACCAAACACACAGAGCACCTCAGCAATTCAACCCAGGGCTCGAACCACTACAAGGCAGTAATTCTAACTACTGTGCCACCATGCCAATTTTAATATGAATATTAAAAAATGAAAACAGTAATGCAATTACTGGTCTGCTTTCTCTAAATCATCTGTAAGGATGATTTTCGAAGATTTCTTGATTTTCTTTAACTTCAATTTCTTCTTTCTCAGGATAACTGCCCTTCAAGTGTATTTAGATAGATAGATAATACTTGATTAATCCCGTAGGGAAATTGATTATACTATTGGTCTTTAAAACCAGCAATTCTCTGATACCAGACTAGAACTCTTCTTACTGCTCTTTTAACTACTAAGCAAATGGGGGTTTCAAGTTCAGTTATTTCCTTCCTTGCATGGATGCCAAGAATGCATGATGACATCAGCTTCCTGTGCTAAGGTTATAGTGCTGCAGCTACATGGTGCTAGGACTGCATTGTACAAGATGCCTTCTCCAAATCTCTTCATGATTAAAAATGTAGTGTATTTCTTATGTTATAAGAGTTAGCACATTTCTATGATTAAGCAATTTCTAGAGATGATTCACAAAAGTAGCGCTCTAATAAAATTGGCCACGCATGATAATTGTATTAATTTAGAGACCTCTTGCTTTCTTGAACAATATGCAGTCTTTGAAAGGGATTTCAATCTTGGCACATCCATCTTACATCTGAAAGCTACTGCTACTCAAAACTAGGCTACATCCAAAACACTACCCACCAAGTCATCTGAAACAAAAGGAACCTATAGATGTCACAATATTGCTGCTGTAATGTGTTAAATACATGCCAAGTAAGAATTACTGTTATTTAACAGACATTCAACAAGTGTAACAAATGTAGAAGCCAAACAGTGAGTGACACAAGTGAGTGAACAGAGCATCAGAAAAGTTGCAACCAAACATACTTTAAATGTAAGTTCTTAATTATAAGCATTTAATTTGGTTTGTGCATTTGACAAATAAACTGAACTCTGAACTCTGTACTATATAAGAGCGAATATAATATGGTGGTTATTCAAAAAATGCAAAACATCTTAAGTATTCAGTTTCCTGTCTCTACCACCATGTTCAATTATCAGGATAGCCTTCAATTAATCTTGTCATTTTGTAAGTGGGGGAAAAAAAACAAATGAAGAATTTAAAATGTTGGGAAAATTGGAGGTAATGCTTAAGGAAGAGAAACAAGATGCATACAACTAAGATGACAGCAATGCCCGTCTATAACCCATCTGGAGGGAGCCATACTGTATGTTAAAAACTAGTTCCTTCAGACTGATAAGGGAGTTCTTTTTTTGTTTTCTGCCCAAGGCTCTTGTACGGGGTAATTAACATTACTGAATGAATGTTAGAATAAATATTTTCCGTGGTCTTCAAAGAACTATATTTTCAACATTTATTTAAAAAATCATCTACTGGGTGAAATAAAATAATATCCCTTCACATAGTTTAAATTGCTGCCTTAAAAGAGTTGTCAGACTAAATTTGGTTATTTTGAATTTGTTCAATGGTCCGTTTTTAAGTTATTTAAACTGATTATTAAGAATGGGACATCTTTCTGAGAACTAATTAAAAAAAATACATATGGATAAGTTTAAAATAAATTCTGTTTATCTTAAATTCTCTGCAGTTCAATTCTATAATGTTTAAGTGTTGTTCCGGAAAACCTGGATTGTGGATTGTATTGCACTTATGAATTTTACAGTCTTAAATACACTTAAACACATTGCAGTCTCATGTGTTGAAGATGATTTCTACAATAAACTGATTGTGTTATTCGATACCTACTTTATCTCCTCCTCCAGGGCAGTTTTGAAGAGCTTCAGCAGCAGATATTCCTCTCGCTGATTAGAGGCATAGTTGTACAGTGTGAAAATTACAGTGTCCATGAATTTAGTGGACTTGTTCTGTGGCATTTGGAAGATCAGCTTGGCTAAATATGTAGGATTCGTCTGTGGAAAAATAATATAGTCAACCATAACATACAACGGTTACTTACAGTAGGTGATGTTTGTTAATTTCTAACCAGCAGTCCATCTTCTGAAACTTACAGTGCTCATTTCAGTGATGTCCCATACAATACATGTTTTAAAGTGAACACTTTCAAGGAAAACTTGCATGTTCAAACTGCATAGTATACTTGATATGGGTGAAAGAGGTTAAATATCTGCCAAAAACTTGCAAAGAAAAACCCCAAACTAATATACACTGAGTGCAAAGGTGTTCACTTTACTATTGCAAATCTAAATTAGGTTACTTGAAAGGCCTATTTACCTTGTTTTGGTCATTTTAAATGAATTCAGAGAGCAAATACTGAGCATGGGGCATTCTCACACAATCACATGATTGACAAGCTCTTTTTTAAATACAGTATGTATTAGAACAATATTACTCCAATTAACAGATCTCAGCTGCTCACTACATGGAAATCATATGATATATTCCAATAAGCTATTGATATACTGTAAAATGTATACTGTTGCATTTTCATTGTGTGTCAATATATTACTCTACTATTCTCGCTCTGTAGAGGTCTTTGACTCTGCAGTAGGACTGATTTAATTCTGGTTAAGGACAACTGGTATTACCTGCAGCAGGTAGAAGAAATGCTGATAGGCCTCCAGCTTCTTTCTCTTCTCCTTGCTCAGTCCTTTGATGCCCTGCTTGTCCCCCATGACTATATCCTCCATCTGCCCTTTGCCTTTTTTATTTAGCTTTTTGCTGTGCGACACTACATCCTGATGTGGGAAGCAGAAAGATTTACAGCATTAGTTAGGCGCGTTTTCAAACTAGAGGATTTTAATAATGGCAAAATCTTGTAAATCTAAAGTGTAGCTGATCACGGCAGAGCCCTGCCCTTTACAGTTTCCATTAGCTTGCCTTTCCAATACGAATATTGTTACAACAAACTAACGCATAATGGAGTGGCTGATAACTGATTATTTTCAATACGTTGTCCCGTTGCATATAGAAAAAAAAGTAATTTCAAGACCGTGACCTGCAGAGTAATCCTGTTCTTCACTAGCAGCCCAATCTTAATGTCCATCAGATTGAGGTCCTTCTCCATCTGCTGGTTAGACCTGATCTTGGTGACGACCTCTTCCCGCAGGCGGGTCACCTCCAGCTCTTCCTGGAAGTCGAGGTTGCTCTGGTCCAGCAGGTGAACAAACTTCCGCACCACATTCAGGGGAGGGTTCTCTGAGCCCGCTGCAGGAGAACACAGCAGGGTACGTTACTGCAGACGCTCTCTTGGAACAAGTAAAGCACACTACATGGGAGGGATATTGTTTCAGCAAGGCTATTATCCTTATGTTTAGAACGCAGTGTTCAGAAAGAATGTGATAACAGTTCTTTTTCCTTGAAAGGATAATCAACCTGGCACTGCTCAACTCCTGTGAGTCAGTTTCTTAGGAATGTTGGGAAGACGGGATGCTGATAATTAGGATGGACTGGATCATTAACACAAACCAGGACATCGTAAATCCTGACACTTGATGAAAATGTCCACAACCACAATTCTTAATCCACCCCTTATAAAAGGGAGAGACATCTGGACTTGAACCTCAAATGGAGGTCACCTGTCATAAATCCACCGTGAGGGCCAAAGTTATCCACCAATGAGAAATATGCCACATGTTGTCTGAACTGAAGCAGGAACAACATTAGCTCAAAGCATGCACTCATGCCGGAATATCAATGTTGAAGTAATTGTATGAGACTAATATACCGTATATGTAATTATTAGAATAAAAGAGTTTTAAATCTGATACTATTATCTTTACAATCTATGAATTACTAATCAGCAATTTGTGTAACACGGCAGACTGAGTAATATGCAGTACGTATTCATTATATTAGTTTATTGTGTATGTTTTATTATTATATGTAAAATAGCATATTGTATTCCTGAAATCGATATGTATATTATGTGATTCATTCCTAGCAACCATAACGTACTCTCTATGTTTATTGTCATATTGTCTGTTATTGTCTTATTAAATATGTAAATAAATTCAAGCAATCTAAACACCACTAAATACCGAACCACATTTTAATGAGAGTAATTTTGAGTATTCATTGTCTACTGGGTCACAGTAAACAAAAATCATGACAAGTCACTCCTGCTCTGAAATGTACAGATTGCATGTTCCATGTCTTTTGGGAACCAACAGCAACATTAATGGAAGACTAATTTCTATTTAAAAAAACAATTAAAAGAAAAGCTTTTATTTTTCTATTTTATCAGAGAATTAAGAAGCTAAAAGCTTTGATCTTAACAAAATCAGGAGGCTGTTTTACGAAGCACAAAGTTACACAAATTAACTAATTCTAGATAGACTTAACCCGATAACTGAGTTCAGGTTAACTTCAGGTTTAAGTTATTCTGCTAAATCAAATTTAAACAAGCTGATGAAATGTGCAGTTACAGTAATTAGGCTAGAGAGTCAAGCATTAAATCCTTAATCCACGCCAACAAAACTTTGGTGAAAGAAGCTCTTTTTGGCAAAGTATGAGGATAAAATCTGTTGTAGTAACAAAGAGCTACTGTATACTGTAACTGCTGCAAAAGCTACAGAGACAACTGGCAAAGGATCGCAGATAAACTGAAAGTGTAATTATTAATTATGAAATCTGATTAAATATATCAAGTTAAAACAAAAGATAAAATTGCACAAGAACACATTTGTTAATTTTATGTAATTAACGTTATTATGTCATTGAAGTGGAGCTTCTCTTTAAGCTTTTGTGTTGTTGTACAATATTGTTTTTATGCAGCAGTAATTTATGCATTTCAGTAGCTGGACTATAAAGTAAGGACCTGGCAGCAGGTCAAGACAAAATACAGGAATATCTTCCACAGTGGTCATCAACACAATAAATAATGTATTCCCTGTTGGGAAACATCTTTTTTTCCAGCATTTTTGTTGTATGAATCAAGCAGTATAGGTGATGCTCACACTGCAGAAAGACTTAAGTACTGTAAAAATTATTAGACAAGAGTTTTGTTATTTCATGAAACCCCTGTTTCATGGTGTCCACTAATGTATGGCTGGGAAAAATTAAACATTATAAGCTGTGATGAGCAGTATTAACAATTCACTGTACGTATGGGCATAAGGTATTGCAAATGTAAATATAAAGTATAAAGTAAGGTGACTGTTTTTTGAAGGGGACTGATTGGTCTGTGAGTGAAGCTTTTAACTTCAAAGTCAGGAGCGGATTAATAATAGAGGCTACGTTGATATTGCTACTTAATCAGAAACAATTCAACCCTGTTTTGTGAAGCGAAAAATCCTGTTTACGAAAGCTATCCAGTTAACTGAGTAACCTAACTTGCTGAAACAGCAAAAGCAATAATATCAACAACATTGGCTAAGGAATAGCTGCATACATCACACGCAGGATATTACCAATGACCAGAAATGACTGTTACACACACAGATTCACCAAGTTTGTGGAAGAGACATCAGAAAAACACGTCACGGTGCTTCAGAACAATATCAATGAACCCTCATAACCTATAAAAAGAGACTTCACATTTCGCAATGAGATTTACTTTAGTAAGCAAGGATACAAGCAGTATCATGTTTCTACTGATGATGGTAATGCTATGTGTGTTCCATTGCCAAAAGCACTTAACATTTCAGTAAAGTGAGGTAACAGAATTTATTCTTGATAAAACGTTGAAAAACTCAAGGCAGGACAGTTATGTAGGTCATTGTGGCCTTCAAGATCGTGTTTGTGAACAAAAATAAAAATGTAAGAGTTCAAATGATAGTATTTCTTGAAAGGCCTGATAAAATCAAATTAAGGTGTAACACAGTTTAACAGTCCTGGAATATTACTTAAATTCTAAAATCATAAGTAGTTAGCTGTTTTGCATTTGAAAAATGCTGTGAGAAAGGTTCTGAAAAAGGGTTAAAGGTCTATGAAATTAGTCATGAACATTATTATTCCTTTTCTAGTGCTTGTAGAAGGCAGACAAGTCTGCTAACAGTGGCAACTATCAAAAGGTGTAAGATACCATTAACATACAGTATATCCTCCAGGATATAATCAAGCTTGAACTGGATTCCCTGAACAAGAAAGAGGTTTTAAAATCACTTACTCAGTGTTCTATAATCATCTCTTGCTTTATTTGCCCTCAGGAAGGCCTGGATTTTAACAATCTCCTTTTCCTGTAAATAAAAGCAACAAATTACAAAATAGTTCAGGTGGGAAGCTGCGTCAGCATGCGTAGGCTGCAAAGGAACAAGTAATAGGTTTATTCCATGCTGAAAAAAAGAAGAAAGAGAACACAACATTTCGGCCGTGGAGCCTTCTTCAGGTGTGACACTTCTTCAGCTTGCTCCACGGCCGAAACGTTGTGTTCTCTTTCTTCTTTTTTTCAGCATGGAATAAACCTATTACTTGTTCCTTTGCAAATTACAAAATAGTTGCTTTTGACAACATTCCCACTCACAGACTCTTGATGTTCTAATGTTCTAATCCATTACCTTGACAAATCAGTTAATATGCTTAAAAAGAAAGTTTTAATTCTTCACAGAAAAATATTTAAAGCAATGGGATGAACAAAAATGCTTCATGCTTAGAAAAAGATGGTCACTATTGTGAAATGGTTAAATAATGAGTGTGGACTATACTAAAGAGAGGGCACAATATTTTAAAATCAATGCTTTTGTTTTTGGCTCTATTGTCCCATTACCAAATTAATGCATGTACCTTGATTTTTTGAAGTGATACTTTAACTTACATGCTCTTTAAAATACTGTAACCTTTGAGAATATCTGTGTCTTGCTCTCCACATTTTCACCCATGACTGAATCTGAAACAGAAAAAATGTATATTTACCTCAACCTCAAAGGTGGTCATTAACACATTATATTCAGGACATTAATGGAACAAATGCCAATTTGACGAACATACAGACAACTACATGAGTACTTTGGAACATTAGAACTTTGACACAATTCATTACAATTCCATCAAAGATTTCATTTTTCATTCAAAGGTAGTTGCCTTATTGAAATGCTGTATTGTGGAAACTGAACTCTGAAGCAAAGATGTTCAGTACACATACAAGTGAGATTATGACATTAATGTTCTCGTAGATCAAAAAAATCAAAGAAGCATAAAACTAACAGGTAGGCTGGTGGTTTTAGAATCTAGACATGCGCGGTGCACATTCAAGTGGACAGACATTATATCAGTGCTCTTTTGTCCAAGTTCTTAAGAGAATGCGTTTCTTGAGATCAAGCAGGATCGTAGGCCATAGTCTACGTGTCCAAACCATACTGCTCAGCTTTGTGTAGCATTACAACAACTGGTTAAATATACCAATTCATTTCAGAACACTCTTGTGATCACCCATTCCTCCAACATGAACGTGCATGAAATAACACCTGAGGAAAAATAGTCTAGCACCATGTTACCATGTCAATAACAGTTATGCCAAGGAGGCTATAGTGCGCAGTGATGGAGTTGCATTGTTGTCTGGAATCAGAGGAATCATTTGAAATCTTTTTGAGTAAAGGAAATAAACATGAAGGTAGTTTTCGGAAACCATTTGAATGCAATGTGAAAAAAAAATCTTTTTTTTCCTTGATAAAGGAAATTTGGGATTTTTTTTAATTACTTCAATTATATTTTTTTATCATGCACTTTTCAAAAATATATTTTCACATTTGGATATTCATTTGATTCAAAATCAAAGTAACTACCTTGATGATGGCAACTATGTTATCTTGCAGCACTTTCAGCCTGTCCTTGTAGATCTTCCTTTGTTTATAACCTTTCCAGGAAGCCTACCAAAACAAGAGACAAACTGTTAACAGTTACAGTAAACCCATTGACTTTGACCTTAGATCTTTTTCCCAACTGGATATGAATTCTACTGTTTCCCATAGGATTTTCAGTATCATGTAGACTGAACAGACTGGTATGTACTACGTATGTATACTTCCTAAAAATATTTACTCAAAAAACATTCTACTTCCTAATATGTTCCCAGAATATCAGAAAAGGCTCACTAAACAATATGTGGTCAAAACAGATGTGACTGGGCTTATCCTTTTGAACACAAAACTAGTTGCGTTCAGACTTTGCAATGGAAACAGGCAACCCCTTTCTGAAAAACAAGTGACCCCCCCACTGAGAACAGAGTTTCTGAAAACACAACCGCAGCTTTCTTTTTGTCAACTTGTATAAGCAGGCTGAAAATAGGATTGCAGGAGAGAAACATAAGATGTTTGTGAGTTAAGCTTCCTCATCAATCGGCATAACCTGTTCATGTCATTGAAGACCTGTTTTTGGCCGGCAAAACAAAACAGGAAAAGAAAAGCCGCCTTCATGACACACATGGGAAAACGAAAACAAACTGACACCAAAGGACAGTGCTGAAGTTCTCAGCGCACAACGCCAAACCAAGCTGAAAGTGAAGCAGACAGTCACCTGCAGTCTGATGACCATGGGCACTTGTTTTCTTAAGTACTCCTGTCTTCCCTTATGAGCTTTCCTCACCAGGTACCCCCTGGCCCAGGCCTGCAGCTGAATGACAAGGTGCTCCTGGGCTAGCCACAGCTGCTCGCGGTTGTAATCTGCAGTGATGCCTCCAATAATACTCTGAATTCAGGATAAACAACAACAAAAACAATAACAATAAATGAGATTTTAACATGAATTTAGAACTGATTTAATTACTGTTTTAATAGTTGTTTGCTAAGGAAAGAGTTTATTTGCTAAGGTTTGCTAAGAGGGAGCACTTCTTTAAAGTGGCATAAGACTTGCAACTTTCTGATACTTTAGTATACTGTATATATGGAACATGACTTAAAATAGAAAATAACACTTTTTTTAGGCTTCGCATGAATTTGTATCTTTCCACCTTTTGCAAAAATATGCTACACACCTGTATTTCCTCCTTGGAAAGCTGAGTGCTGTTTTGAATGAAGCCTTCTGGTTCAACCCAGGTGGCCTCTCCACTTTGCAAATTGTAGAAGTAATAAAACTTGTCCCTGATGCGGTGTTTCACCCATGCACTGTCATTAGATCCTAAAAGAGCAAAGAAAAAGGAAATTCTCTGAAGCAATTTATATACAAAAGGGCCAAATTAACTTGATATGAAGGAATACATGGGATAAGAGAATATAAATTGCCTTCAACAACATCACAGCCATTTCTCATGGTTAACAGTAAAATGTGAGAAACATTTGGAAGACATACTGTATACATTAGAGTCTCAACATCAGCAAATGTAACTTTAGTGAAATTTTCTTATTTGTGATTCGGTCTTGCTGAAGGTGTCTTGAATGGGAGAAGAGCAGAGCAGAGCGGGATGAAACCAATCCAAAGGTTGTTAAGTGTAGCTTTCAAATTAGTGGTGCAACAGACTATAATCATGACATGAATCTAGATCGTGAGTGAGCTTATTCCTGCCCTCTGCCCAAGAACTTGGTAACTAGCATCTTAACATGGCCTTGTTTTTGTAGTTTAACAAACACTCCCAGTTCTGTACTGGCGGCATGGGGGGATGACAGGCTGGAGACAACTTCACATGCACTGTAAAAGTGTCTCTGATACTTCTACTGCTTGTTTTATTAAGTGGAGTGTGTTAGTCATGCAGAGAAAACAGAGTTCAGGCATGGGTTGGATGCTGAGGAGGGATTCATGTTGTTTATTTTAGCTGATTATTATACGTTTGTGATTACTGTTGTTAGTTTTCTTTGATCCTTGTTATTTTAATTAAGGTAAAGGCACCTCATTAATAATTTAATTAATTATCATACAAGGGAGGGCTACTTATATCTTTTAATCATACATACTATAAAGCACAGTGGGTTATGTGACTGTTTAGGAGTGGAACTGCTTATATGTGAATTTGGCCATTTGCAACAATTCTCCCTTGCAAATGTCGAGACCCTACTGTACTGTATTCAGGAAGGGCATCCAAGGGGTGCGGCTACTGACATACAAATCTCCATGTACACCAGCTTTTCTCATCACACACAGTCCTGACCTTCTCCCAGCATTGCCAAGAAAACCCTTCTCAGTGGGCGAAGTGTGAGGAGGTAGACTCCACTCCCTATTCAATGGGGTAAATGATAGGGAGTACTTTTCTCACAGTCGGCTCCATCTCAAAGCAAAGCTTTGTATATTTTTGTGGTGTGTCAACAGGCAGCAGAAGGATAGAGAGGGAACAATAACAAACACAACAACCAGAATAATTCACAGGACTTCAAATCTGCTTCAACATTTTTAGAGGAGGCCACACACTGCTGAGCTCTCTACCTTCTGCAGCCTTGAGAGCCTGTTTTTCTGAGAGGTCTTTGAAGTAGGTCTCCGAGCATTCAAGCAGTACTCCTCTCAGACCAGCACCAGGGGACATCAGTGATGCCAGCGTCTTTTGTACATCTCCTCCCGCTACCTCCCTGTTGATGTCCGCTAGAGCCACAGCCACTAGGAAACAAAAAACACCCTTTCATAATGTTTTTGTTCTGAATTTGATAATACAATTCACTCCTTTTCTTTCACACACAGCTATTAATGTAAGGTATAAAGGTTAAAATGATACTTTGATTATACACCTTTTCCTTTCCTGGCCCTCAAAATAAGTCTAGGATTTCTTAGAATCTGCCATGAATATACTTGCAGTGAAAGAAAACAATTTGCATTTCTTCATTTGAATTTTTTATTTATTCATTCATGGCTCTTCACAAAGCAAAAAAAAAAGGAGAATATTCTTTAAAAAATAATTTCTGTCAATAAATCATATGGAATTGCTTTAAATAAAACCTCACATGCAAAATGAACCAAAGTAAACTGGATGTTGTTAAAATAAAACAAATATAGTTATAAAATTTATACTTCCAGTAAATCCATCCTCCCAGTATAAAGTTGTTTTTCATTATTTCATTAAAATTGTTACTTTCAGTTGGGGATTTATTCTAAATATAATGATCTGATTCTAGGAAAAAAAAAACACACAAAAAAGAAAAATGAAATGTAATTTTGTTGTCTTGGAGTGAATAGTTCAAAAACTCTCTTGAATGCAGCACACATACATCTCAAAGCCTCCTCTTCATTCTTGTTGGCGTTATGTATTCCTTCTTGAATCTGGTCCACCCACAGCACAGCTGAGTCATCTCCAGAGCTCTGAAACACAGAATAAAGCGAGGCTCATATTTCTGTGTTACCCAAGGGTTCCATTTTATATGAGTCTTTCCCTCTTGAGCTCTACAATTGTACATTCGTAAAACTTGTCACGGTATAAAACAAACACATCAACCAATTAGAAAAAAAGTGCTCTGTCTAACATGACATAAGGCCCAAGACACCCAAGAAAATGTTAATCAAAGTAGTAACAAAAGGTCTGCATTCCAGTCTTTAATTATAATTTCTAAAGCAGAAAACATACTATCGTGTGAATGACTGAGACTAAAGAAATTAACGTTTTCAAATGTTTTCAAACAAATGCTTAACAAATACATATTATAACCTTTTAACTGCAATGTATTTCAGAAAACTGAGAATTCCAGAAGTTAAGTTTAATATGACTGAGGTACAGCAGAATGTACACAGAAAATAAATATAACAGCTTCTCTAAAAAGTTATTTCAATTAATGTAAATGGCAAAAACTGCAAATACATTTTTTTTATCTGAAACAGTTACAGAAACATCTAAAGCATTACCAACACTATTTGTAGGCTATCCTAGAAACAAAACTTTAAATATCTTGTGCACACCCCTTAAGATGTAAGACATCAACCTCTGCCTCCTGTCAGATTGGTCTTCCCATTTCTAGACAGTATGACCCTTCCAGGGTTCAATAAATTAACACATACAGTTAACATACTAAGAAAAATACAGTTACTATTTCATTTCAGCTAGATTTCAGCTAGATTGGGGTGTCCAAGGATATATTGATAAATTCAAATGTAGACAAATTCTAAACAGCAACATATACTAATGCACAAATTAAATTAAATAACTTTTAATGCACAAATTAAAAGTAACAATGAATGCTAATAGATTAATTTAAACAAAAAAATATTGTAGTAAATGTGACAGAAATATGAATGAAATATTATGATATTCACTATAAAAGACTGTTAAAAATGTGAAAATATTTCAATTAGTATTAAATATCACCTCTCTGAGCATTAACAATCCTAGCAGAACTGATTCACAAATCTGATCAGTCTCGGGATGGACCAGCTGTAGGTTCTTCTATCATTCTTGCCCTGCATGCTAGTCAAGGTGGAAAATCAGCTTTATGCTACAGTCTGGCCATCTTGAATCATGCCAGCAGCAACCAGACAACTTTCATTACTCAAGAGAAGTGTAGAGTTATCTTTTACTTGCTTTGATTAAAATCACTTTTTTAATCGCTATTTAAACATTCTCTTAAATTTGGGTAATGTTAACTCAGGTCAAGTACTAAACACAGAACAACTGATGTTTTTATGAAACATGCTCAATAATTATACCGAGTACTTCGTGTATACTACACATTATTAATTATAATTATAGTATTATTCATTATACTACAGTACTATGTGCTGTAATGAGCTACTGAGGTCAAAATTTCATCTGAGTTTAATTGCTGCACTTTCATTTGAAATAGACTCCATCTGTCTCTGTTAGCAGAGCTGTTTTTAAGAACATAAGAATAGTTACAAACGAGAGGAGGCCATTCAACCCAGCTAGTTCATGTGGTTTTGTCTCTTTATAATTGAGAACTTCATACATCAGACAAAATTTAGACAGATGCTTACATTACTTAATGTCTCAAACCAGGAAACAATGATCCCCCAGGAAACACTGATCAGAGTGTTCCTTAGAAATTAACTTCTAACTTGTGTGTCCTGTTTTAGTTTAACTTTTTTACGTTGCGGCACTCACATTTCTGATTAAGTAAACATTTACAGCAGACCCAAAGGAAGAAGCCTATAATGACACATTCTCTTTGCTACGAGACGGCTTCAAATGATACTTAAAACATGTCAGGGCGAGTGTGTGACGCCAAAGAACTTTTAATACCATCTTCGCGGTTGCTGACAGCTGAGAAGGAAATTCACGGAAAATAGCAAAGAGGATTTAACCAGGTGGCAATCCATTTCAGTCATTTTCCTGTATCCTGAGAGACTGCTCTCCTCACATCTTCACAGGGTTCGGTATCTTATCAATACACATAATGCAAAACAACTTACAAGTAAATAAAAATCTATCAATTAAGAGTTAATAACAAGTAACAGAGATCATGGCAGTCTTGCTAGATAAAGTTACGGAAATGCTGTAATGATTGAGTAACAAAGTTACTTAAAAGTCAAGACAACGTTTCCATCACTTCATAAAGACAGAGACAGAATCCATAGACTGGAGGACTGCTGTTGCACCCATATAAAGAGACGACCTTAATGTACTATAGAGAGAGTATCACATGCAGCTATCAAAACAAATTACAAATACATATAGGAAACACTGAGCGTGAAGAGGACACACATGAAAAAGACTTTGGTCTTTACGTTGACACATAATTCGTACCTGCTTGACAACATGGGGAAGTAATGAACAATCAAACAATGTTAAATGTAGAAAAAGTGTAGAGTTTAAATCCTGATTAAAATTGCACAATGCGCCTTTGTGAAGCACAATACCACACACTGTGTAGTCACCATGATACAAAAAAAAATATTGCTGCTCTGAAACCACACCAGAGAAAAGCAATCAGATGCAATCCCAAGTCTGAAGGAATATCATAAACAGAAAAGCTAAATGAATTGAACGTCTTAAACTGAGAGGATTACAGATTGCCTGAATCAAGTATTCGGAACTGTCAAAGGCATTTACTGTACTAACTCAAAACTATGGACTACGTCTGAAGAAACAGTTAAAAAAGAAGACAACTACGTGGAAAGTGCATAGGAGAGACATTCATAAAGGAATATAGAACAAGAATGTTGTCAAGGCTGATACCCTGGTTTCTTTTAGGAAACGACTGAACAAGATCCTTGGATCAATTTGCTACTAACCACCAAACGGGCTTGATAAGCGAAATGGCCTCCTCTCATTTGCAGGTTTGTAATGACTTTACAAACGAAAGTAATGACTTTCAAAACATTCAGTTGGATCTGGTGAGGTATAACAAAAAAGATTAAACAGAGAACTATTATTAAAATTGTCTTTATTATTTGACTTACAATTAGAATTCATCTTATTTATTTTTGACAGATTCATGTTTGACACTTTTACCCTCAGCCTCCTAAGGCTGAATAGTTCAATCCATCCTCATAGTAATCAAATGATGGCACTTCACCAATCCTTTAAGGAAGTGCACTCAAATATCATTCTTTTCAAATAAATACAGATAGCTTAAGTAAGCCTGTTCCCAATAATGAAATACATTACAATTAGCTGTAAAATGTACTGTAATACAAAGAAAAAAACAAGAATTCTGAAAATTCCACTCCCCCTAAAATGACTAATGATTAATTTCAAGTAATGTGATCAACCTCCATGCAGTGACTAACCCTGATCATTTTGAACACCCCAGTGAAACAGGATACAGCTTTGTCTTTGAGCCAAGCTCACACCTACTTGAAATCGACTGCTGAGAAGATGAAGGAGCTACACAGTGTTTGGATTACTTCGGCATTTGAAAGATTCTAACAGGGTAAAGAAATAAACAAACTTTGTATCAACCTGCAAAAGACTTCAAAACAACGATGACAAAACTGTTGATTTTAACAGTGATGTTTTTAATATTCAAGGTCTCTGATCAACATAAAAACGGTACGTACTGTAATTTATACCTATAATAATCTGCAAAGTAGACCTCACAGTGGTTTAAATGATCAAAATTCTTTATGAGGATTCGATTTGAGGATTCAAGGATGTTTTAAGCTCTAGGCTTTTTTAGTCTAATAAAATACTGTTTAGCTGTCATACAGAAACACAAATAAACTTGTACACCTAGCAAATTCACAAGCAGGAGGAGAAAGGGAAACTTCTGTTACAGTTGGTTAGGTTTTCAGTAATGGCAATACATTTAGATTTGACTTAATCGAAGTTAAATGTTAAATCTCAGGAGGCTCACTCAATTCATCTAATGGACATCAAAAGGGTAGACAGCTGATTTAAAGAGCTCATCCAAACCTTTCTTGAAAGAATCCAGGGTAATCTCTTCAACAACATGCATGAGTAGTTTGTTCCAAACTTTCACAATTTTTTTGTATAAAATCTTTTGGGATGCATCAATATCCTTCTAACTGAAGGAAGGTGAAAACAAGCTTTAAGTCAAAGTTTCCCTTCTATTATGAGTCTATCAAAGGATGCAACTCCATCATTAAGTCCAACAAGCGGGTAAAGAAATTACTGACCGATCCAGTTGTGCAAAATCTACTTGCAAAAAGAGATCTATATGTTGTGCATGATTAAAGTACTAAGGTATAGATGAATGATCACTTATTAAACACTTTCTTGAAAGAGTGTCTGTCAACCAGTGTGGGCTTCAGTAGCTTACAATTAAGACAGTTAACCAGTTAAGATATTTGTCTCAATTAACTGATTCTGATGGGAAAGACACTATGCATTTCTGACAGACCAACAAAAAAAGTTACATTCTTTGAAAGACTAATTATAACATTAGTCAAAGACTAATTATATTACATTTTAGTAATGTATTGAAAGAGAAAGAAAATACAAATTTACAAAAAGAAATAATGCTAACAATACTTTCCCATTTGTAGTTTGGAACAGTAATAATCCCTCCCAGTACAGTGTACAGTATATCTTTCTCAGTTCCTTAGTCAAAGATAACAGTACAACTGGATACCCCTTCTCTGCTTCCTAGAGCAAAATACAAAAGGTTTAACTGGAAATTCTAAGTGTAGGTTATGCCACAGAAAATGAAAACACGGTTGAAGAACTTATGACAGAATTTTGCTTGCTTTCCTCCAAGCTTTTAAGATCTTATTACAGAACTTTTCTTCCTGTCCTGCAAACATTTAAGGTGATTCAGGGCTTTTTGAATCAGGTTTGCTTCTTGATGTTTTTGTGTCCCAGAAAGTCACATTAACAGTTAGAATTGTAAGTGACAGAATTTTATATAGGAGCTGCAATTTAAAATTTTTAAATGCATAAAAGACAAGCTATCAAAAATAATTGATCAAGTAAAACATTGACATTTGAAAAACTCAGTTTTGTTAAGAAAAACGTATAGAACAGGGATCCACTAGTTCACAACTTTAATTTATCAATATATACTAATTTATCAACTTTGCATTAATGGTCTGCTGACCTATTACAGGTTATGATGAATGTATTATGAGGAACTGTCATTTTAATTAAATTGAATTTAATTAAATATCAGTCATGTAAGTGTGGAAGTATGTGAATTTCGAACTGAAAGAGGACCCTTTGTATGAAGGGTTTCCAGGCTACATCAATGTTTTATAGTAGAAAGAGCTATGATTTTGACACATTCATAACCGTAGATGTTCAAAAATCTCAGAAATATTTTGGAAGGTAAATTTGTAAATTTGTATTTCAGATATTTTTAAATCCTAAGGGAAATTATTTCTCAGAATGGCACCTGCTAATGGTTCAGATTTGTTCTTTATATTTATTTCTTGCTTAGAGGGACTACTAATGCAGCATTGTTATGATATCAAAGAGCCAATATAATTGAAACGTAATTGCAATAAAAAGCTTATAAAAATCTAATTCAAAGTTTCCATCAACTAGGTGTTACTGAATTCAACTCACTGTGTTTAATTAATTAATTCGTGTTTAATTAATAACACACAGATAAAGAAATATGGAAGTGATTCAGTCTGCAGACATTCATCAGCATATACAGATATGCATATACAGATTTCCATTCATTT